GAGGGTTGTGGAAGGAATGTAGTGTATGTCTGAGTTGACCCAGCATTAAAGTCCTACTACTGTCCAACTGATCATTTTCGATGTTTTGGGTCTTTGAACTTTCCCACAGTCAATTTCTTATCTATTTCACTTCCTCAGCACTCAATTCTTGTTGGATTGTTTTGTAAATTTAGCTATATAATAGTGAATGTATTTTAAATCTACCCCAGGTGTCTGATTATTAAATTTCGATGTTTTGAAAGTATGGGCTCCTTATCAGTAGAAATAGCAAGTATCCACACTAGCTCAAAACTCCGGCCTATTTTGAGCTGATCCTTGTCATACAAAGCAAGTATATATGATATGCTAATGATATGTGAGCAGGGCTGGCCATTTATACAAGAGTAAGACATTCAAAAACATCAAAAATGTCAAAAGTGAGATTTTCTATGTTTTTGTTCCTGTAGAAGAATCCTATGTGTGTCCTGGGCCAGCTATATGATAGATGTACTCCAAATATACATAGAAATAAACCCCTCACCTCAATTAAGGTCCGGTCCTACAGGAAATTTTTTCACAGGGGGTGAACCATCAGGAGAGGGAGGGCACACCATGCAACAGGGTATTATCCTATGGTCCTGGGCTGCTGATACATTGTTCCTATTGTTAAATAGATGCTGGGAATTATTTTTTCAAGTCTGTCCACCTAGAAATAATTAAATGTGAACATATTTTGTGTTTTCTTGCATATGTGCTATATCTATTGATGTAGGACGCTTCAGGGGGTGAAATAAAGATGGGAATCCACTCATATATGCTCATAAACATGTTCTGAATATTATAGAACACTGTCCCACCAAAGGGGCAAAAATGCGAAAGTGTTCTTTACCCTAGCATATGTTAAAAGGGCCCTGGAGAAGGAACAGGCACACAAATAGACAAAAAAAGCGGTTTATTATATTATATTATACATATATATACTAAACTACTACTTATATATGAACAGGGAGCTATTGTGGTGTGATGGTGAAGCTGCAGTGAGGTGGGGAGGGTGTGGGAATAATTGATATTGTGGAGGTTTCCAAAATGGGTGATGTTTTGGGTGTTGTGGGGTAATTCCCACGGTAGGTGGCCAAAAATGCGGAGTGTGGGCATAATGTAGCTGAGCTTCAAAGTTCCACAAAAGGCTCAATGTGATGCAGGCACCATTATGCATAAAGCTGCCAGGGTGGAGGGATTAGCATCAACCATACATAACCATGTGTCTCTTACCAGCCATAATTATGCATAAATATGACAGTATAGCCTGAAATAATAGCGCTCACCGTGAAATCATATCGTTCGATCTCTGAAACTGCTCTCCAACGTGCCGGGTAGTCAGGCCCGTGATGCTAGTATACAGGAATATAGCGACTTGTTCTTCCAACGAGACAAACTTGGAGTCAACATAACCGAAGTTACGGAGCTCAGAGATGAGCGCTTCAAAAGCATGTGCATGCATACCCAGTTCGCATCAAATGTGTTCCGGATGTCCAGTAAGAAGCTCCATAAGCCAGCCTTCACCAGAGAGAATGGATGTGTGGTACAGTTCCGGGTCTTTGGAGTAGGTAGATTGTAGTAGGGATCCTGTAGCACATATCAGGATGCTGATGAGGATTTTAGCACAGTGAAGGAGGCGTTGTTGGATCTCTGGATGTGTCATTGTAGTGAGAACAGTAGTTACAGTAATGCGCAGCAAGAGCTGGTAGAGATACAACACTTGTCAAGATCCTTAAGATTATCGATGCAATAACAGTAGTAGTACGATGCAAGCAAGGTTGAAAGTCAGCCGTTCGGGGTGGCGTGCCGACCATGCTTGCCGACTGCAAATTGATTCAACCTGACTTCACATGGGTTTCCGAACTAGCTCTTACTAGGTGCAAATACTGGGTTGGCTCCAAGGCGTGTCTGGAGTCCCGTCGAAACATTTTGCCTAATAAGGCAATGTACGTGAGCACGGTGCTCTGGCTTTCCATAGCGCACACATCTTCTCCGGGTCTGGTGATAACACCATCCGAAAATGGCGGGCGATTGATGGACAGTCGGAACTCGTCGTTCTTCAGGGTCACACCCGCGCCATTACATCCTTCTGTCTTACTCCCAATGAAAGGTATATTGTCAGCGCATCCAATGACTTCTCCATTCGCATCTGGGATCTCAAGACCAATGAGGCAGTCGGAGATCCACTCTTGCATGATGACCAACTCTTCGCTGTTATCATGTCCCGCGATGGAAAATCCATTGCGAGACTATCCAAAAAAATCTATGTATGGAACCTGGAGGCGGCACTCGAAAACATTCTGGTACGTGTGCTTTGTTATCCAATTTCCCTTCCTGACGGTTTTGGCCATCCGAGTAGGGCATAGATGCAAAGCTCAAGGCAAGTCTTCTTTGCTTCTCTTTCACACTGTATCTCACATTTCACTAGGGACGTCCAGCTCAACCGAGAGTTGTGCGCCCGCCAATCGTGAGTAACCCTACCTTTTCTCATATGTCTCGTCAGACCTTTGACCCCCGTCTTGCGTCTAATTAGCAGCCCAAAAACACAGGACTGGCAATATATGTCAGTGTACTTTCTTGTTCTTGACGTTTCGCGCCTGACACCAAGATACAGGGTAGTGATTTCTTTGGCAACGAATCAGACCACACGGCTCGTCGCGCAGCTCCTCCCACAAGCTCATCGCCCCTTATTCGTTGGCGTCGTTTTCTCAGTTCCATCCATTTCGGCACACGATCTGCAAATGCATCCCAACCAATCGACCGACAGTCCCGACACTGGAATCTCAACTTCAGGTTGTTTTCCGTAGCACATTCCACGCGCACCGTCGACGTACCTCTTGCCCAAGATGAAAATGTGAGTGACTCATCGTCCCTCCAAATTCGTTCCATTAAAATACAATGCAGAGATATGGCATTGTCCCTGAAACCGATGTGGAAGCGGCTGCAGCTATGCAACGTACGAACAGCAACCAGGCCAACAGTGCGACGCAATCAGGTCAACCAGCTGGGGCACAACCATCTCAAGCACAACCAATCCAAACGCAAGCACAAGGCTCAACTGACGAATCGGAAGATTCTGTGTATACAGGAGTGAGCTGCTGCGGATTTTTCTTTGGTCTTCGTCGTCCTGCTTCGCGTCAGTCATGAGGGATGGAATACGTGTTGCACGCCCACACTCGGTTCGACTCTCTTTCCCCGACACACATGTCTAACTCCTCTCATAATCAATATTCGCTACTGTGACTATCACCCACAGACTCGGATCCATCTTCTCGTGCACCACCTTTCCTTTGCTCTACTTTCCCTGGATCCACGCCACGTGTTGACAACACCACTGGCGAAGTTGACCCCGTTTTCTGGAATGCAGCTTTTGGTGGTGCAATGGTCTTCTGCGCGGAGAGCTTGATGTTTGCTGGAAAGGTGACCCGTTGAAACATCGGAGTTGGATTTCGTGCAGCATTGAGTACGTACTGCTCAACCCGTACACGGATTGTTCAACATGTGTTTGTAAAACCTGGATTTCCATCGATATGAGTTTACTGATTGCTTGAAACTTACCAATACGTTGATCTCCGTGCGAGGGCGTCTGTCCGATCTTCACGTTGCGACTTGTCTCAACAGCTCTTAGCATTTGCTTACGGTGAACGGTACCGGCGAATCCGCATCAAGAACATGGAGCATCCACTTCAGTGCGAAGCAGAGCTTGCTGCTGCTGAGCAAGTCATAAAATACGAAAGTCTACCTGGGAGTTTTCCAGTTTACGCCAAGGCTTGCTATGCGCTCGTTTCTTTACATGGACTCATGTTTTCGAGGGAAGCGAAACTCGTTGGAAAAGGGAAAGGGACATTCGAGTTATGGGCCATTACTCTGTGAGTTCTCTATTGCACGTTTCGTGAAGCTCATGTATGTGTAACGCCCCCACCAGTCGCGTCATATTTCGAATCAAAGTGACGCCAAAGAGAGAAGAGTTGGCGTGTGAAGGCAAGACATCTAACACGCCTCTCTTCTACCCATACTCAATCTTAGCTCCACGAATCACAGCTCTATGACAAGCAGCAAGCGAGATATGTTTATCTAAGGCTTGGTCTGTGCGTGTGAATAACAAAATTCTTTGCTGAGTAATAAGCAGTTCATTAATACTCACATCGGGGTGAACGATATTTAAAAGAGGTTTATATGTTGTACAAAATGTGAAAAAAATATTTGATATTTAAACTAACATAAAGATGGGTGCACGACTTCAAATTTTGGTGGTGTTTTGTGTGTCATCCAAAATATCAAATATTCATGACCATATTCCCACAGACAATATGTCAACAAATATAATAAATATAATCAGATTTTCCATGTCTGCTTCAATTTAAAGTTTGCTTCTTACATAAAACTTTGGAGAAAACTTGAAGTTTTGCCAAAGCTTGACATTTAAATCGAGTTTTAATGTCATGTCATCTGTAAAACTTCAAATTTTCTCCAAAGTTTTACATGGAAATTGAACTTTAAGTTGAAGCAGACATGAAAAATCTGATTATATTTCTTATGTTTGTTGACATATTGTCTGTGGGAATATGGTTGTGAATATTTGATATTTTGGATTACACACAAAACACCACCAAAATTTGAAGTCGTGCACCCATCTTTATGTTAGTTTAAATATTAAATATTGTCTTCACATTTTGTACAACATATAAACCTCTTTTAAATATCGTTCACCCCGATGTGACTACAAGTTCGACTTCCTTGGCTTCCTAATTCTCATTACCTCCTTTACTATGAATACCAACGCCAATATCAATCTTACAAACCGAGCTCATAACAGAGGCACTCGTGGTCGTGGAGGAGCCCAGCGGGGTCCTGTTGGGCAACGGGATCCTGCTGCAGGTCCTGCACGACGCACCTCTGGACTGCCGGCTAGTCCGCAGCAGGCCTCTCAAGGAGGTGAAGCCGACGAGTTACTCCGCTCTCATGAGCAAGCGCTAGAGAAAATGCGAGGTGAGGTTGGCATTCGGTATGACCGTCCTATCCGTCCAGGGTTCGGTACCCTCGGAGAACCGGTCACACTGGTTGCCAACTTCTTCGCAGTGAAGATCTTAAAGTCACTTATTTATACGTATCGTGTCAAAGTGGAACCAACCAGGAACGCCAAAGACGTTCAGCGTCGTCTCCTGCTGCTACTCGAGCAGAGTAATAACCAGGCTTGGCAAAGTGTCAAGTCCTTCGTGGCATTCGATGGAAGGGAGACGCTGGTATCTACCAAGGAGCTGCCCCAGCCTATGCAGATTTCTGTGAGGTTCTTCGAGGAAGGACAGACGCTTGGTCCCAACTTGCCAGAATATACCGTCTCTCTCGAATTACTCCGTAAATTGGATATTAGCAAATTCAAGCAGTAAGTACCGAGCCAAGAGACGTGACCTACTGTCTCAATTTTGTTGTCCAGATATTTGCACTGTGACGTCGATATCAATGATAACTACGACATTTCCCCGCTCATATCTGCATACAACATCGTTCTTCAGCAACATGCATCGTCGACCGCAATCCGAGTAGGAAACAGTCGCTACTTTCGGGTTTCTGGGCTTCAAGGCAAATGAGCTCTCGCCTGGGCTTACCGGCTTGGAGGCATTCAGAGGCTTCTTCTTGTCCGCAAGGCCCGTTTTCGGAGAGTTGATGATCAATGTTGGTGTATGTATGACACCGTTCTACAAGCACGCACGATTGGATTCAGCATATGAAGAATTTGCGGGTCTTTCCAAGGGCGCAACTCTGCAGCGGTTTGCTCAGAATGTCAAAGTGACCACCACGTATCTCGGTTACACCAAGCGCCGCACGTTGTTACGGATCACACCGTTGTCCGCAGAGAAAACCACATTTGTGAAGGATGGACGTCAAGTTTCAGTCGCCGAGCATTTTCAGAATGGTATTGTCGTCATTTAGTTGCCAGCCTCTGTTCATCAAGCTGATCCTGAAGCATTAGCACACGATATATTACTGAAACGTCCAGATCTCCCAGTCGCTGACCTCGGGACAGCGGGAAGGTCGAATTATGTTCCACTGGAGCTGTGTGTGATTGAATCACAGCCATTCAGAGGTCTTCTTAACGATAGAGAGACCACGAACATGCTGAATCATGCATGCAAGCCGCCGGCTGCTAACTTCGACGAAATAATCAGCAAAGGACTGCCCTCGCTTGCTTTGACTGAACCTAAGGCAAGCATTCTAGATGAGTTTGGCATATCGATCAGCAAAACGATGACCGACGTTCCTGGACGAGAGCTCCCTCCGCCCAAACGTCTACAATACCATTCCGGTTCTCCTTCCGTGCAGCCGGCAAAAGGGAGTTGGAACCTCACGAATGTGAAATTCCACACTGGAGCTTCCGTTACCAAATGGGCAGTTGTAGTCTTGTCTGATGGGTATTCCAATCCCAGTGATGAAGACGTGTCCAAAGTGTGGACAGGGTTCAGAGAAGGTTGTAAGAGGTCAGGAATGGCGTTCGCAAACCAAGCCCCGACTGTTGCAATGCCCCAATTGCCCCGACTGTTTCAGGACAATGATCGGTCGAAGGGTTTAATGGAAATCAAGCGCACGATCCAGAACCTTGTCAGGAATAATCCAATGTTTCTACTGGTCCTCCTACCTTTCCGTGACACGAAGTTATACCCCGGTGTCAAACGCATCTGTGATGTCGAGCTCGGGATACATTCTGTCACGATTGTCCTGAACAAGGTCCTGAAAAACAAGGGCCCACAGCAGTACTATGCCAACGTCGCCCTGAAGCTCAACCAGAAACTCGGGGGCATTAATCATATGCTCGACGTTGAAAGCACGCGCTGGCTCACTACGAAGAGCACGATGCTCGTGGGCATGGATGTTACCCACCCTGGACCTGGCAGCAAGCCAGGCACTCCATCCATCGCTGCAGTCATCGCCACTATTGATGAGTCTTTCGCGCAATGCCCTGCAAGTTTGAGGTGCCAGAAGTCAAAGAAAGAGGTATATTGCTCTAACAAATCATTTTCTTACCTTCGTATAGCTGATTGACGCCTACAGATGATAGACGACTTGACGGAGATGATGCTAGAGCGACTGAGAGCGTACAAGAAGAGGAGTGGTTCCCTCCCAGAGAGGATAATCGTCTACAGAGATGGCGTCTCAGAGGTAAGTCAATAATCCTTCCGCCTTATACTTTTGAGTAGGATTCTCACCCACAACCTAGGGTCAATTCGACACAGTGCTCGAGCGAGGCTCTGAGAAGGACAAGATTCTCGATGCCTTCAAGGCCATCCACAAAGAAACCAAGGATCTTGTCGAGTACCGGCCCCACCTCAGTATTATCATTTGTGGGAAACGGCACCACGCTCGCTTCAGGCCGAAAGACCAGAAGAATCAGAGCCGAAACGGAAACACACGCCCTGGAACAGTCGTCGATAGACGCATCACTGCCATGTAAGTCTTCATAGACCTGTGAAACGGAAGTCAGCTCATATTCTTGTCTCTACCAGTTATGATTTCGACTTTTATCTGCAAGCTCATGATGGGATCAAGGGCCATGCGCGACCTACTCACTACACAGTTATCTACGACGAGAGTGGTTTTAGTGCCGATGTTATACAGCAGGGCACACACACTGCGAGTTACTTATATGCCCGCGCCACCAAGGCGGTGAGCCTTGTACCCCTTGCGTATTATGCTGACCTGGCATGCGAGCGGGCGCGGTGTTACCTTGATGGATTCTTAAACTCGGAGCAGCTTTCTGCACCTAGTCGGAAGGGAGAGGGTAAAGGTAAAGGTAAAGGTAAAGGTAAAGGTAAAGGAAAGGCCATGGCGGCAGACGAAAGGGAGGCTGCCGAGCAACGTGTTTATGACGCTGCTCTTCAAGCATGGGGCCAAGGCGTTCATAACAATCTGAAGGAGACGATGTTTTATATCTGAAGAGATAGCACAGACAATTTGTATCTGCAGAACGTATTTGATCTTCAAGATCGTGAGAAATGAAACAAAGTGTCGCCTGGTATGGGCAGCATTACTAAATTTCGCTGTTCAAACGTTCACCTTGATCAAGGCTCACACGTGCAGCATCCTCAATTATTCAAAGTCTTACAGAATTTTATTCGTACCTTTGTGCTAGATGCGATGTCAAACGGACCTCGATCTCTTCATCCAGACCATGCAGCTGTCACTTGACACTCAAAATACTAATGCCACCTACTACTAGTCATAATGCATGCCTGCACCTTCGCGTGCACAGATTTATCGTTCGGTCTCAACCTCCGACCTCCGGTCTCGGTTTTCATTTCAGTTATCTACGACCTCGAAGATCGCATCTCTGGTACGATAATAAACTTATTCCTCTGCACTTTCTCAATTCGTCTTCAGGTTTTCCCTTCCAGCTAGGTCTCAACACTGTTACCAATGGAGCAATCAATAACGGCGTGTTTGGCGCGTGATGACGTTCAAATTCCGAGTCCGAACATAATAGAACTGCCATCTGGGACTTCGCTTTCGGCAGATACTTAGGGGTTCACGTGAGGTATGATATTCGTTCTCTTTATGCATCCTTGGTCCAAACTTTAACTTAGTGATCTCTGCGTAATAGCTCCAGGATCGGTCTCAAGAAGGCACTTGAACATGGTTCAAGACGTGAGGCCCAGGACCTGTAAAATGGAACCGATATTAACGACTATCTGTCGACGTAAAATACTCGACCGTGGGGGGATTTCGATGAATACGAACTTTCCGAACGCATTATGCATTATCTTATGATTGGAATACAGTTCATCGCGATTACGAGGAAGCCGCTATGGAGGTGCTTCGTGAGAGCTGATCGTCGTTGAATCGATCTTCATGTGCTACTTCCTGGAATCAATTCAGAGGTAGCTTGTCCTTACCCAGATGATTATCCAACTTCTAAAAGAGAAATTTCTGATAGAAAGATAGAATGCTTTGTCTACCGACTTCATCTGGAGGTGCGCATCATCAACCCGATACTCCAACAATCAAATTCTCCTAAGGCGACGTTGCCAGTCTTGTCCTCGAGTCCGGCTAGTATCGCGGAGAGATCATCATCTAGCACAGAGAAACTGATTCAAGAATGTCTCACTTAACACGCCAACTCCAAGTCGACTCGCTTCATCTTTAATGACCCTCAGCGGCTCCACCCACAATAACCTCGTGTTTAATCCATTAGGCTCCAAGTGACCACTCATTCTCCATAACCCCAATTTCTCAATGGAAATCTCACGCCGCAGGGAAGCACATCTGCCTAACACAGTGTCCAAGAAGGCCATGACTAGTTTTACTATTCAGAGTGTCGATGGTATCTCAAGGTTTTTTTGGCATTAGATCGAGTTCTTTGGGGTCAGTGGTTGGACATGTTTTGTCATATGTATCTTTCCTGCGTATTTAAAGGTTCTCGAGACTCACTAAACAATCCAGCTTCCTCACATTTCTTGCTTGAATCCATCTACTGCACTTTATACGATGGCCTACCAGTCCAATCTTACTTCCGATGAGGTGCATGGCACCAGAGCGCCACTGTGAGGATTGCTTTGTTGCGTGAAAGCTGTATGGCGCTGATCGCAGTCGACTCAGGGATATCATGTTCCTCCAAGATGCTACAGAGACTCAACAGCCGTATATCAACGCTGCGCGCAACGGGATCACCCAGATTTGCAATACTCTTTTATCTGGGGGAAAATTCGCTCAGCAAGACCTCAGATTTGGTCTCATTGCCTTCCGCGATCATCCTCCTCAAGAGCAAAGCTTCATCCTCCAGGAATACCCTTTCACGTCTGACGTAGAAAGCTTTGCATCTAATTTAGCCAGCGTAACAGCCGAAGGCGGCGGAGATGATCCTGATTGTCAAAGCGATGCTTTGGACGCTGCCAACAGGGCTGACTGGAGGGACGGAGCGACAAAGGTTGTGGTGATGATAACCGATTCACCCCCGCATGGAATCGGAGAGGACGGTGACGGCTTCCCTGAAGGGTCTCCACTTCGTAAATCATCTTCTTGTTCTTCAGTCGTAATGGATCAATGACTAATGCCAAATTAGAAATTGACCCGCTCTGTGTCGCAACGAGCATGGGAAGAGCTGGCATCACTCTGGTATGTCGAGCATTTCACATCTTGTGCTAGGGTCTAATGTCAACACAGTATGTGATTGCATGCGAGCCTACTCTGAGCCAGAATTACAAGGTGAGATCATTTTCTCTATACTGCCGTGTCAGATGCATTTTTGATCATTTGCGCAGGGAGCGCGTGATTTCTATCAAGGATTGGCTAGGAAAACGGGGTAAGACGATCATAGCTTTCGATCATACATTAATAGATTAACTGTTTGTAATAGAGGGAGAGTGCTCAACCTCAACGAGCTCAGCGTGCTGCCCACTCTCATCGCCGGCTCTGCTTTAGAAGCAGTTGACAGCGAGATTTTCGTTGCCAGGCATCAAGCTGAAGTTCGCAGCATGGCGAACAAAGAAAACATCAGCGCCAGCGAAATCTCTCTTAGACTACACAAGAACCTCGTGACTGCAGGCATCCAACACAGCACTCTCGTTGTCGATAACGTGTACCACGAGAACTTCGTGGCTGCAGGCATCCAACACAGCACCCACGTTGTCGATAATATGCATGGACAGTGTGCCCAAGGAGATCAGAATGTCGACATCTGGTTTAATGCTGAGAATCTCGCCGAAGCGAGGAACAAGATCCAGCAGGTAAAATTTCGATGAACTTCGTATTCTTAATTCTCATAACTCCGTCCAGGTTGGAGGCATTCTCGAAAGGTGCCAGGCCCACGGGACACCGGCAGAACAATCAGCTGCTGTAGAGACGCAGCCTATCAGCTTGGTCCAGGTAATTGTTACCTCATTCATATCGAAGTTTGTAGTGACCCCTTTTACAAGGTCGAGAACGTCCTCCAGAAGTGTCTTGTGAGAGTCTGAGGATTATGAATTGGAAGACTATGTCGTTTTTGCGCACTGATATGTACTTGTATTACCCGGCTGGAGTTACGTGCCGTCACGGAAAATATCATTGAATTGAAGGCTCTCTGCGGAGCTATGATGTACATCGTTCACTTGTGTACTTTGTGCAGACGCCAAATCTACCTCAAAATTTTCATTGGATATCAGTTAGACCCGAAAATCTTCGGGTCTTCCAATCTCGTTCACACGTGTACAGGTTATGTACGTATGTACATATGAGCTGGACTCGAGACCGAGGGCAGCAGCCAGAAAAACGAATCTTCCTTTGTGATCTCAAATCTGAACTGGTGTCTCCTGGCATATTGACTCTTATTTATCACCTGATCAGTGATCCGAAAAAACTTGTATCGCCTCTGGGTCCGATTCAACTTCACGGTGATGGTTCCAGAGTTAAGTATATGACGAGACTGCAAAATTTTGATCAAACATGTACAACCCAGACCGACATTAGTAGTATATGATATGACAGTAATATCAAAATACGATTTCGGATTATTGTCATATCATATACTACTTAATCATGTCAAACTTGAAACTACCAGTCTAGCGGCAGCGAGTGGATCGACTTGGTACGAAGTGGGAGATCAACTTCTCTGTGCTAGATGATGATCTTTCTTCCATACTAACCGGATCTCGAGGATAAGACTGGCGGCGTCTCCTTGGGAGAATTTCGATCGTTGGAGTATCGAGTCGATATGATGCGCGTCTGGTACCTTCAATTTGTTGTATCGAATGAGGTTGGAAGACAAGAACATTCCATCTATCCATCAGGGATTTTACTTTGGGAGTCGGACAACAATCGTGAGCCGGGTAAGACAAGCCAGCTCTGGGTTTGGATTGATTCTGGGCAATCGCACATGATGATCTGTTCAACGATGATCAACTATCATGAAGCAGATGAGAGACCCTTCCATAGCGGCTTCCTCGTAATCGCGACGAACCATATTCCAATATATCCCAAGATGAAGAAGATGATGCTTGATGCGCTCGAAAAGTTCGTATTCGCAAGATGTCGAGTATTTTACGTCGACAGATAGTCGTTAATATCGGTTCCATTTTACAGGCCATGGGCCTCACGTCTCAGGTCATGTTCAGGTGCCTTCTTGAGACCGATCCTGGAGCTATTACGCAGAGATCACTGCTTTAAAGTTTGGACCAAGAAGCATAAAGAGAACGAATACCATGCCTCATGTGAACCCCTAAGTACCTGCCGAAGGCGAAGTCCTATATCACAGTTCTATTATGTTCTGACCCGGAATTTGAACGTCTGTAAGCGCTAAATACGCCGTTATCGATTTCTCCATCGGTAACAAGTGTTGAGAGCTAGCTAGAAGGGAAAGACGAATTGAGAAAGTGCAAGTAAAGTTGTTGTCGTACCAGAGACGCGATCTTCCAGGTCGTAGATAACTGAAATGAAAAACAAGATCGGACGTCGAGACCGAAAGATAGATATGTGCGAAGGTGTGGCGATGAAAGATTTGGATGAAGAGATCGCCGAGGTCCGTCCGTAGCCTACACCTCCTTTCGAAGTAGTTTTGTTAGTAAGACTGGTTGTGTCTGGTCCATTACGCGAAGAGAGGGGGACAGAAGCAGAACTCCAGACTCGCGTCTCAGATGACATCCCTAAAGAGTATGGAGAAAATTGGTTCACGGCGTTTTACCGCCCAAAAAGTCGTAAGTTAGTACTACGTAACTTTTAACTTATGTAATCGAACAGTCTTGTTTCAAATATGTTCTTCAAGTTAGCGCGCAAGGAGCGCTCCAAAAGGAGGAAATTCAGCCTCACTAGCATGGACAACCAAGTCAGATCCCAATGTTAGGCATATATCCTTTCCCCATACAATCCAAAGAACTGGGATAACCGACTCTTCCTCCACGCAAGCAAGGAAGAATGGCATCGTTTAAGGCGGGGCCTCATATGAGTACTTCGTATCGGATGGCATCGTGGTGCTTTGGTTACTACAGGAATGGGCGGGCCTGGTTATCGGCTTTGACTCGGAGGTACGTAAAAAATTTTGCATCAATAGATATTCTGAACCTGAGTACCTCATGGGTACCACGTAATTGATGATGAGCCAGACTCACGAATCTAAATCAAGCTCTGGTTTCTCGACAACGTGATAGAGGTCGGCCAGTGAAATCATGTAGTCTCCATCCATGTGAGTGCAGGTATGCATCCAATGATCGAAGCCCTCACACAGATTCAGGCGGTGAACATGATACTGTCAGAAAAGCTGAAAGATGGAGAGTCCAAATAGTCAAAGGCAAGAAGGCTTATATCTCAGAGTTTCAGCGTGCTTCACTTTGAGACAGAACGATCCAAATGCTAACTTAGCACGCCTCTTTTGATAACAACTTGAAGGGGTCGCAGTTAAACCAGTGCTGGGCGCTACTACAGCTGCCATCAACCCTGTAAAAACCTAATTCCCATCGACCTGGCGGAGATCCTTGGAACTATCACGAACATTTTCTCATTGTGCAGGTAGTCCCTTCCTTATCCGATCCTTAGGTCCGTACAGTCAGTGATCAAGAACGAGTCTGATTCCTTCTCGATACCAAAACATTTTTTTACTAACTTGAAGGCGACTAAAGCGCGCTATCTTGCAGCTTAACAACTGTTATCTCTATCTTGCGTTCAGTACGTATTCTGATACAGAGTTTCATCGCTGACATACCCGGACCCCTCATTTACGTCACTTTCCTTTCTCAGCTAATCTCCAACAACAGTACTGGGTCGCCTCGACACCGTTTAAGTCGCAACTTCTCGTTCTCGCAACAACCGCTCCCAAGTTCGGGATCTTCCCACACGACTCCCAAATGCATGGAGTGTCAGTGATCGCGGAGTCGAACATGACTTGTGCACTAAGAGGACCAACAGCCATAAATGCCAGGAGAATGATCGCCAAGGGATTCATCTAGACCTTCGGTGTCATCAGTTGGATTTACAGGTTGGCGAGGTGAGCCTTACAGGTGAAAAGTGTGAGATATTTAAGCTAAGTGCAGGTTTGTTCTTTTGTTGGATATTCGTCAGTTTTGTGCTCATCCATTTTATAACGTTCGCTGGTTAAAATATTAATCCCTAAGTTCGAAAACAGCAACTACGCCTAGCAGTCTCCCCCTCACGCCAAGACAGTCGTCTCATACAAATGTCTCTACATCGTAATACTGCCGGATCTCTTTATCACTGGATACTTACGCAAGGGTTGAGGCTAAATCAAGAGCCAGGCCGGGTGGAGTATCAATGTACAGTAAATCTTTACTATGAAATAACACATTTTCAAACTTTAAATCGAGCCGCGGTGTAACCACCTGCTGATCTTTTTGGAGGTCAGAGAACAGCGGAGGCAGAATTTTTATCCCAGCGATCGTAGCACTCCTCGTTGAATCATCACTGCCTGCTACCTCCCATCGCCTAATGCTCTGCACTGGGACATATCATTGTAATGTCTGTCCCGAAGCTAACGGTTATTCATAGCTGTTTCTGTTATTCGCTGTGGTGCATCAATCAATGGTCTACATGATGAATCATTTTGTATCTTATTTTACGCCTTGAGTGGTCTCGGTGCTGCTGTGACACCCATAGCAGCCAGATAAATCCATGTGTGTTTCATATCAATGTCCTTCAAGTCATTTGAGCCTGCGAGGGGCACTCCAAAAGGAGGAAATTCAGGACACTTAGCCTCGACGAATGTATCACTAGTGTGGATAATTAAGTCGGGTGGTGCATCTCGATATCCTTCCAGAGGGATATCATTCCTCATAGATACAGACACACATTCTCCCCTCAAACCGACTGCAGCGAATGGTTTCACAAGATCCATGAGTTGATAGCTCAGCGCTCTGACAGCACTGTGGCCTGATGCATATTCAACATACGGGGACATCGATGCATAAAACTGTACAATGGGTACAAATGGAAGTGACCTATAGCTCTAGCAATCCCAGGCCTCCCTTCTCCAAGCACCAATCCACGCCATGACAAAATACAAGCACCCTGCAGGTAACATGCAGACCTTTGCAACGACACCCCAATCCCACCGGCGTCCAACCAATTTGCGTGTCTCCTCTCCCTTCAGTTTTACATGGGGCCGTAGACGATCAGGGACGGCCGACACGCGGATACCTGTATCTGACGGGAGAAGGTTGCTCGTCACCCATATTTGGATGCTGCGAGAAATGCACGTCGTCGTCCCTATGACAGCCCAGCACACATCCGGACGTATTGTGGTCCAACGTAGCAATGTGCTGTCCAAGATATTTAATGTGGAGAATGCGACATCGACATTTAAACCTAATCCGCCAAGGATCTCGAGCGTAAAGTGGGTTGCAGGCCAACAAATGGCCTGCAAAGCGAGAAGACGTATGAGCGTGGATAAAGGGGGATAGTAGGCACGCCACCGGTGAAGGAGTCCGGTTGTTAACTGGAGGCATTGATGCGCCGTCAGTAACGCCTGTAGATGATAAAAACATCAACCGGGAGGCTGACCACCCCAAAGAGATAACCTTACCCAAAGCACTGCCAGAAAATAATCAGCTCTGTCCGGCAGAGCGATGCGACCCCAACTATCATGCTCTCGATGAATTCGAGAGCACGAACCGGGAGCGAATTGTCCCAAATACAAACCTGGAGGTTTCCACACACACCAGGCATTTATGAGCGCGCCTAATAAAGCAGGGACGACAGACAGGAGTCGTGATGCATCAAAAAGTAGAGTTGTCAGAGTGCTTGGTGGAACTAATGGATCTGAGGCAGGTAGGATACGCGTCGTCGGAAGATGTCGTGGCTGCAAATACGTATCCAAGTAAGAAAGGTGTGATGCATATGCCGATCAATACCCACAGGTTCGTCGGCCTCAGTCTCTGTTTCACCAGCACCTAATTGTCCTGGAGCAGTTGTTATCTGCTCCGACTTGGGCCTCCGCCAGCCAATGCCCACGCTTAGGACTGCACGAAACCCGCTCGCTCGTGAATCCTTGACTGATCGTGTATTAGTGTGACGGTGTATGTCTTGATTACTTCGAGTGCGTCTAGCAGTGTATATAACATTAGTCGTGTCTTCCTCATCATCTGCACTCAATTCCTCGTCACGATTCTCAAAGAGCAAGTCACGTTCCCGTGGACGGTGGTGATTGCGCATTGGATATATTGGCGCAGTAGAAACGACAAAATCTTGCGAAGATTTTCGTGGTGATGACGGCGGTGTAGACACTGCGGAAGGACGTGTCTGAGAGGAGTGTGCACCAGTGTCTGCAGGGGTAAGCAAGTCGCACAAAGGTATGTATGGTGGTTTGCAGCACGATGTAGTCCGCGATGAAGATAAGGACGAAGAAGATGAAGATGACCACGAAGATGAAGAAGATGAGCTTAGGCCAGGTGTGCCGGAAGCTGGGGTTAGCCTCAAGGTATGCGACCGTCGTCTTGAGCGAGCCTTGCTTGTCGCAAGACTCGGCGTGGTCGATACTGGCATCATCACATTCAATAGTGAACTCAAATGCTGCTGATAAGAAGTGAAACTCACAGCAAAATCCTTATATCACGCTTCCACTGTTTGTCTGACGTCGACGTTAACTTGAGACAATTTTTGTTCTTGAAATTGCTGTATTAGGTATTTCTTCGGCGGATGCCACCTGAATCAGTGTCAAAACACTTTTTTACTGTTTCAGCTACTCCCTCGTGTCAATGTCTATCATGCTGCGGTCTCCTACTCTTCTGCAGCTTTCGGTCACACTTTAATTCTGTCGGGCGTTCGCATGTGAGTTCTAAGATTAAACTAGAAGGCTGATACAAAACCGAAATACACGTGCTGGAGAACATCAACAAGCAACTATGCAATATAAATATACGCATGCGAGAGTCAACGCTTCTTCATGGCCAACCGCTGCACTTTCAATGAGTCAGGCTTCATATCGAACTCAGCTGCGACCTCGCTTCAAAGCTCACAGCCAAAGCCGCGTATATGGCAATCCCTCTAGTATGGTATGGGATAAGACTGACTCTGATTGAATCCACCTGCGTGCTGGGCTGAATCCTGAGGGAAAGGTGCGTCTAGCATGAGGCTAACGCCCAGTCGATCACTTACTAGCCCCTGGACAGCACAGGCTTATTCCCTCAATCGGGTTCATGTACTGGCATTTCACGCACTCGTCGACATACGGTTCCTCTGTGCAACGTGTGAAGCTCCTATACAGGTTGCATATCTCCGTTCTCACGGAAGAATGAATATATGTTACAACAGTTTACCTCAGTCCTCAGCGATCTGACCTTGAATCATTCATGATAAGGGTGTGTGGCTGGCCGCTGAACTTTGCATGCTAGAGGATTATTTTGTCCTCTCTCCGCTGCCGATATTCAATCGTGCTAATGAACACTGACTATTCCCCGGCCTCCTTGCGCACCTTCGTGTACATCGTATATTCGGAGTGCATTTTCCCCCAGTACTGTCTTTGACCCTCGTCGCCGAACACGTTACTAAGGGCGATCATTTCACTCAAGGCAAACCCAAGGGCCAAATTTCACACTTCGTAATCCTGCACATCACTCACAACCGGAGATCCGAATCATGCAAGCCCAATGAATAATGCGAATGTTAGACCCTACATAACGATTACATTTTACCTAGAAGTATCGTCAAGTGATTCACATGCTAAGTGCAAGCCAATGTCGAGAACAGATTCTACTGGCTATTCGCACTATAACTTTTTCCCTTTTCTCGTATGCTATCCCCTAGGACAGCTCAGAGGCACTGACGCGTCTTAACAGATTCCGTGGGATATAAATATAGAAATTCCCTGTCTCTTTCTTGATTGGATATCGTGAGTATTCCAAGGTATCATGTGTAGTGCGAATGAGAGCTAGCTACAATGCTTGTGGTTGGTGCTACAGATATATCATGCAAGCTCATCATGAATACCAGCACAAACATGTCAATATCTGTAGCATAGAAAACGAGTTGGTATCTAGGTATTGTTGCCAATGATCATTCACCGAGTTCTTAAAGGCCTGACTCTTCTTCAGAGTCACTGGAATCCTGATCATTCTGTTCAACGAATTGTCAAGTACTGAAATTGACTAATAATATATGATACTCACGTCGATGAACACCGGCGGCTCTTGACCATCTTCATCAAGAGACGTCCACGGGAGGTGTGGGGTAACCCATCTGATACGCTGTTCAGTGAACCAACAAGTCGGCTCAATAATTGCACTCACAAATCTTCGCCTGTGCGTTCGGGGGATATTGATGACCGCCTACCAGCGCGGGAATACCTGGGATGCTTAAGTTCATACAAAGGAGTGAAGCAATGGTCCGGCATGCTCCCGCTGCGTGTCAATCCAGCTTGTGCGTCACTCCACCATTTCACCTCGGCCGTCGCACCAAGAGTGCCCAGGGGCGCTACAACGGGGGCGGAAGATAACAGAGCAATGTTGATATTTTCTCCGCCTGCACCTAGATGAGTATATTAGTTTCAGACAACATGGCACACTTACTTTTATCTGAGAGGTACAAGGTGTAGGCAGGACAATAAAAAACCTTGATAACGAGATGAACCGACTTGAGGAACTCGATGCTGGAGAGCTTCCCAAGAACGTCTTGAGAAATGGTTTTTATCCGAGGTTTATTCATGATCAAGATAGCGCCAGTGGTTCCCCTTCTGAACTGCCATGTTCCTTTGATAGTAGCTGTAGCAATCCCAGGCACACCTCTGGTGGATTCAAAGCCGATCGGAATGCGATATCAGGACGGATGACATGCTAACTCACGCGTGAGATTCGACGTTCAATTCTAATCTTCTGACATTTTTCGACCAAGCAGTGAATTCAGACTCTTCCGGACAGTCCTTGGGTCGATGTTCGTCAGACTCGGGGTCGATGCCTACACGGCGGAGAAGCGACTGGAAATCGTTGGAGTAGATGGAACCTTTGGGGATAAAATTGCCCGTGGCTTTATCGATCTTTCCGTATGACCCAACCTGCGCGACGTCAACATACAACTAAAGACGACGTGAGCCAGTGATCAGACGTACTGGAATCTCTGCGGGTGGGTCCCAGTTCGGATACTTCGTGGTTCTCTCGAATATGAGATCCATGAACTTGCGTTGCGCATTCGACTGGGTGAATAGCATCTGTGGTGATGGTATGTGGTTTACCGAGAAGTAACAATCTCGAGGTTTTATAAGGTAAAGGTCAGGAAAGCAGTGCAACTGTACTGCTGTGCGACAGGCGCCAAAAACTCTGATGGTATACCACGACGTGAGAGCATTCTGGTAAAAGCATTAATGCAATTGCCATTGGTCTAGTCATCTGGCCGCGGTCACGCCGTGGATCCGTTCAAACAAACACAATGATCATTGATTAGTTCCGAATGCTTCAGGCTAGGTCTAGGTTGCTCGAATCTGTTATTACAGGGCGGTGATTAGATGCCTTGTTGAACGTTTGCGTCTTTCACTGGCGTCTGCTGCGGTCAGGCTGTACTTACTGATACTAGTAGCAGTGGGCAGCCGCGGTCTACGTACAGCAACTCCGACCGAATAGGCATCTCGGCCCAGATATGCAAGCTCTATTATGTAAGTCATACTATGTTCTCTCGCAGTCTACCTCCCTCCCTGCTGTGTAGTTCTCAGATCATGGACCAACCTGTTACAACACTTTCACCTATATTCTCTCGTTACGCTCTTCGTTAAAATTCCTCACTTCCTCCCGGTACCCCACCTCGTCAACGTTGCCTCAGTAATGCTTCCGACCGAATAATTTTTGGTCCCCAACAGTCGAAACCATTTCTATTGTGGCTGTAACATTGTATATCCTGATTTTGGGGCTGCGCTCACGTCGCATCGCCACCTTGCCACTCACTGCAATATGATTATCAGCTGCGCGAGTAATTTGCACGTGGTGGGCTGGTGGCAGTCCCACTCCGGGATGGCGCGAAAACAGTGACCGACACCTCGCAAGTCAAAGTAATTCACTGGGTCGATCACCTTAAACCAGATCTCTTCGTCTCACCTACGGAGCGGATTCGTAAAATGTACAATCTCATTACAGACGTGCTCGTGCCGGCACTTGGTACACGTTCTTTCGGGAATATCTATTGGTACACAAATGCTTTAATTTTCGAGATTGTAGGAATCACGTTGAACGCAGACGATATCGCTGGAAACGTGTTAGTGGTCAAACACGTGTGAAGGAGTTATAGGCTGCAGAGAAGTGGACATGCCGTCAATCAACGGAATCGCCAAACAGTGAGCCCGAGATACCTGTTATATGATGTGTTGACTGACAAGGAGCAGATCAGAGTATCAGTCTGGGTTCTAGAGACGAAGGACAGTTGAAATCGAGTGTTCATTAGATCGCGAGAATATTCTCGGTTGGATCAAGTGACAGCCTTGGTAGATTGGCAATATATTCTGGATCTAAAGTGGGGAATCTCGTCGCAGAAAGAAATTGCAATTCGTAAATATCAGAATGCAGGAACGTTCTCGTGACTATTCTGATCGATCCGCACAACCTTATCATCAGCCTTCGAGACAGACTCCAGCAGCGGGGAGTCCTGTTTGACATAGATGAGTCCATCGAGCTGCCATGTTTCGCTAGCACTTTGATCGATCCGTGCTTATCAACAATATTTCCATCAACTCATCAAAATTTTCATTCTGCTGCATGTCATGTTTAGTTACTAGTGGTCTGTCGTTCCACGTCGCTTTGACTTCTCATACGTGTCACCCGGTAACTCATGCTTCTCACTTTTTCCATGAAATGGGCATCGTCACATCGACAACGTGATTGGACAAAACGTCGTTCCGTGCACATTATCATATCCCGGTGCTGACAATCATGGACTTCCCTTTAGATGCAAGATGTCATTCAGTCGCACTCTGCACCCGGAGAGCCGATATTGTAAGAGGTCGGATACGTTTTACGCATTGAAACTCGATCCTGCTCTCGCTTGTCGACAAAAGATCGTTGGTGTTCACGTTGCTTTTTTTGCTCGAACTACCTCATACTTCCCCCTTCTTTGCTCGTTGTACTCTGGTAGATACTACTGACCATTTTTTTGTTGCGAAAACCAAGGTATAGACTGGTGCATCGAGAGCGTACTTACGAAAGTCTTAATATTACAATATGACACAGGCTCATCGTGTACTATCTTACCACAAACGCTACAGATGCTCGTTACTGTGAACGTGGATGTCGTCTTCCGGCTCAGAGTCGCTGGAATCCGAATTCTTTTGTAGAAGAAACCGTCAACTATGAAACTTGGCCAAATAAATGTGATACTCACGTGGATGTATATCGGCACCTCTGTGCCATCCTCACGAAGAGGCGCCCACGGGACGGGAGAGGCTATCCATCTTGCACGCCCCTCGATCAGCCAACATATCCATCATAGCAATAATGAGTACACTCACAACATTTCACCTGTGCGTATTGGGGATGGCGTCGCTCGCCTGTTACGAGGGTGCCTCACATGCAAAAGTTCATATAAAGGGGAGTAGCAATGCTCTGTCTTGCATCCGTTGCGTGTTAATCCAGTTTGTGTGTCACTCCACCATCTCATAGTAGCCATGGGGTCAACCGTTCCCACAGGCTCCGCATTAGGCGCGGAATCTAGAAGAGCTATGGAGAAACTTTCACCGCCTTCCCCTGGATGGGTATATTGATTTCTAATGAGATAAAATGCTCACTTGTATCTGAAAGGTACATGGAAAAGGCAGGGCAATAGACGGCTTTGGTAACGAGGCGCATGGATTGAAAGAGGTGAAGTGTCGCGAGTTTCCCTACGGCGTCTGAAGTAATGCGTTTCGTACGAGGCTTGTTCATGAGCAAGACGGCACCAGTGGTGCCTTTCTTAACTTGCCATGTCCCTTTAATTGCAGCTGTGTCGATCTCAGGGACATTTCTAGTAGAATCAATGGAATGCGATATCAGGAGATGATCGAAAGCCGAGGACCTGGCAACTGACCTTTGAGAATCGACATTCAATTCAATTTGTTTGACATTTTTAGACCAGGTTGTGAACTCAGGCTCTTCTGGACATTCTTCGGGAAGATGCTCGCCAGACTCAATGTTGATACCTGCATCAATGAGATGATCCTTGAAATCATCTGAGTATATAGAGCCTTGGGGGATCAAATTGCCCGTGGCTTTGTCAATCCTTCCGTATGACCCAACCTGCTCAACATCAACATGAAAGGCAATGTGGGCCACTGATAACACGCACTGGAATCTCCGAGGGCGGGTCCCAGTTGGGATACTTTCCAGTTCGATCCAATATAAGTTCGATGAACTTGCGTTGGGCGTGCGAATTAGGCTGCGTGTCCCAGGACCACATGATGTGTACGATGAATGATCGGTGGGTAACAGTAAAGATTAAACTCTTGAGATTTATAGGGGATAACTAGAAGGCAGTGTACTGCTGTACCGGTGCTGTGTGACCTGTGACAGGCCGTCACGAGATCTGAAGCCTCGACCAATCCGTAAAGCAGTTTTTTTTGTCAAGGTAATACTAAAAGCGGTGACATGCCTTGGTAGTTGAACGTGGAGTATCTCAACGTGCAGTGCTGTGGCAGCGCCTTCAAGGTGCTGCGCTAATAGGGCACCTGTGCAGGTGATTTAGGGTATGCATGTTCTACTTATTACACACATCCACAGGACTGCGCGTTTGGAAGCCTGGCTAAAATACTGCAACCTGGTCATTGCCTCATCAGAGCTCCAGCTCTGAGCCGTCGATCAAGCCTCGGTGGTCTTGTGGTCGCCTCGTCGATCACTTATATCATGTACTGAGTGGTTGCTTGTATAATCGAATGGCAGTTCTAGAATTGTTCTGGAGTTTGATCAAGATCTAAAATTTGGCGCGGGGGTTCGTCATTTTGCAATTGAAGCAACTTTCACGAGTCGCGATATCAGCTCCGCGCCCAATGCGAATTGATTATATTCATGTACAACTCACAATGATCGAACATAGTCTACTATCTGTACCTCGAGAGGAATGGTCAGCGAGGGAACATTACGAAGGGATATGCAACCGACTGTATCAAGACCCTGTGATTCTCCACTCTCTTTGCGATCCATTTGAGGGATTGCGCACCAGACGAAGAGAGGAGGTAGCCATGCCCAGGACAAGACTTCTATCGTCACCAAGCATTGAACCCACCAAACTCCGGGAGCATAACATGCGATCAGGATTGCTACGGATTATCACTGGTTATTTACATCCCAAAACGAGGATGTAACTGCTCACCTAGTATTAACAAAATCATAGAAACAGTGAGGGATATACTCGGCCAGCCGATGAACACAAGCGTACAACACAATCGAAAGCGCGAAGCCGTCAAGACCTGCAATTGCGTGCATATCGATACGTGCAAGGCCAGATTCGCTACAAACGTCTTTAACCCATGTTCGATCACAGGCTTCGTATATGTTAACCACCGCTAAACCGCACAACATAGAACCGAGCGCATGTACGAATGACAAAAAGACAAAAATATAGGAACCACGCAATGCATAAGGAAGAAATGATGTCAGGGGTGGTTGTGTTGAAACAAAGACCGCGGAAGTAGTGAGCACCTGCAGATTCAGCGTTAGATATCTTCATATTTCGACTGCGGAGAGTACTACCAAGCCAGCCTGCAACGTCATGGTATCAGTGAGCGAACGATATCACATCAATATCACCCACCACTATGTTAGTGTTACACAATCGATTGATAATCTTCCTCTGTTGTTTCTCCCATTCGTCATCGTCTGTGAAAGACTGCCAGTGGTGGTCGACAGAGGGTCTGGCTACCGAGATCAAGCAGAGTGCACGAAATAGAAAAGCCTTTATAGGGAACTTTTTGGGGTCTGGGGCCTTCCACCAGTCTGGCAGTGGTGACCTACAACAAAAAAAGCTACTCAGTCAACAACCCAAGACTTGTTAGGGTACTTACTTATTGTGCGAAAAAATAGGATTGTCCTCCATTTCAACAGGTGAGCTAGATGCGACCTGATATGGCTCGCTGTGAGTTATATAGGTAGGCAAAAGCATACCGTGCTGGTAGTGGGCGAAGCTAGGAGGAAGATATTTTATAATACACACGCAAGCACTCAGTATATAGGTTGCCCGCATGGGCGACATTCGAGTTGCCGGATGCGATGGCACCCTGTTAATTAGCTTCTGCCTTTACGTTCATGCAACATGCCATCACTGCCACTAGAGCAAACACTCCGAGTCGGGGAGGGATAAACGGCATGCCCCTTTTGAAAACGAGCGCTCACTGAGACTAGGTTGAACATGGCACATCAATCATGAATAAGCGATAGAAAGTCCGAGTTCATAATGTCCGGTGGGAGGAAGATAGTGATTCCTTTTTGTCCATTATGAAAGTCGTTATAAATGAGTAGAAGTTGAGCTGTATAAGAACGCACCTGATGAAAATTATGTGTTGTGGATGTTTTTCGGTGCCTTTTGTAACTTTGCGTGAAAGTCTGGACGATGGACAAGGGACTCAACGCTCATTCAACATGAGGAAGAATAAATATCAAGGGTTTTATAGGTCGATCCGCAGTCTCTTCAAGTTAGAGCATAATTTGGCTCACTGGCCCGGGAGGGTTCGGCAGTCAGAGTGCAGTGAAATTTGAGACTGGTTCAGACTGCACGACCTCGGGACAGCCCTAAATTTAGTTTGAGCCTCGTGTTAAGTACTGGGATATGCCAGGACCTCGCTGGAGGAACGACTGTGGTTGCTCAGTACTCAGTACTTGCTGTCGATCTTTCAAATTGCGAAAATCAAGTTGTCCGAGAAATGGCCAACTCTGGATTAAGCGCATCAATATTACAACTCCGCTCGAACACAGCCCCAGACTACTTGCTTTCAGAGTCAAATTCATGACCGGCAACCGCACAGCTTCGATCGGCTTGAAGCAGTGAGTTTGTCCGGATCGACTCCGTGATGATCATCATGACATATGTACTCGGGAGGTTGAATCTTAGCGATCACTGCTAGTACATGTCGGGCTCAAAAAAAAAACCAATTTTAATGTCGGTCTAATCCCAATTTTTATATATATCCATGATTTCATTGACGTACGTACATAGTAGATCCGGTGATCGCCTAACCATTATGTGACCAGCCCAACCCAGTGCTGACTCGGATGCCTTTGTATTCAATGGCGCATTTAAGGTTAGTACTTACATGTAATACGTTTCTACGATGGGCCCGATAAGTAGTACCGCCGCCATCCTCATTGCGGCAAGGTGGAGCTGTACTACAGTCCAGTGGCATCACGTCCAACTGTCCCAGAAGTAGGATAGGCTGCACACATGACTTCCGCCCCCAATCTCGCCATCTTCCGCAGTTATGCATCCAAACCTAATCCGATCACTCTACCACCGTCAATTCTACTCTCTCACTCAGAAACATGTCTGACGGTCTTTGATGCGTTCCCCAAATCCATCTTTCACTTTCTGGTCATACCCCGGATCCAGCCGCCGTTGAGCGCACGCCATCTCACAGACTTGCGTTCTTTGCTTCGATGCGAGAAAAGTACCGCAAGGAAGGTGCTTATGAACTTAAACGAAGAAGCGAATAACGTGAAGAAGATGATCGAGGAAGAGATGATGAAGATGTACAAGTTCAAGTGGGAAATTTGGATGGGATTTCACCCGATTTCGAGCATGGAGTAAGCGTTTGTCTATCATACTATGTTATTGTTCCATTGAGTTCATTCTCATCATTATGGCATTGTTTCAGACACCTCCATTTGCATGTGCTTTCTGCAGACTTGTATTCTCCGAAGATGAAGTCGAAGAAGCACTACAACTCGTTTCATCCTAGCTTGGGATTCTTTCTGCATTTGAAAGATGTTCTTTCGTGGTTCGATGCCGTGCCTTCGTATTATCAAAGAGTACGTTGCGCAGCAAAGAACACCTCGTTCCGCAATAATGACAGAATCTTGTAGATGATTAAGCTCGATGCCAGCCAGTATCAGTCGCTATTAAAGGACGGCGACCTTTGTTGCTGGCAGTGCGACCGTGCCCTGGAGAGCATGCCTAAGCTGAAGGCACATTTACAAGATGAGTTCGGTAAGCTGACGACGAGGGAGAAGGCGAAGTCAGAACGGAAAAGGAAACGTACCGATGTACCCGTTTCATCCGTGCAGGCAATGGTGACCGATGATGAGCGACCTGAGAAGGTCGCTCGTTTAACACCTAGCCGGGGTGATGATTCCAGCGATCCAACTCTAGATGTCGACCTACTGTCGTAAACAGGTCACCGGTGCTGTCTTTCCTGCAGCTACATCATAATGACATTCTTAGTCCGATGGTGCATTCGCTGAAGCTAAATGAAGATGGTCGACCAACTATATCATCGCAAACAGTGCGTTTGACGCCAGTAATCGTCATTAAGAGGCCTAGATTGAATCATATGCATCTCGGCGAGGGACTGGAACTCGGGGGACTACTTGGAGTCATCCACTTGAAGTCTTATATCAAGTGCAACGTGGCCTCAGTGACCAAGATCTGTCCACGTTCCAATTGATGTCACGCAGGCCGAAGTTTCTGATTTGTCCTCCAAGTTTCACTCTCTTGCAGAAAAATTTGGTTCTTTCGATACTCAGCTCAAGCTTGTCAACATCCTTCGTAAACTTTGGCATAACATTGTTGGCCCCATAGTACAAGCCCTTAGGGTGCCAAATGTTCACCCTGGCTCGCGTATCTGGGGTGTCCCACTGCTGAATTCACACTGCTTCCTCTACATGCAGCAGGAGCCTACGAGAAGAAGAGAGGCAGTTTGTCTCACATGTATATATCATCGTACACCCCCACTTTGGCGACACTTGTTCGTGCGAGACAGCAGATTTCTCGAGATGCGTCCCCGCAACGTTTTGTTGTCATCGGTCAAGGAAACCTGGACAGAGGGAAGCCACTTGAATGTGTGGCTCCAGAGTTAGCCGGCGTCCCAAGCCTATCGTGTCGTCCTTCATGTCGCTCGAGGATGGCAATGCAACAATCGAGGGTGCATTCGATGCGCTGAATCGTGATCAGTGGCTTCACCTGGCCTGCCATGGAATGCCGAATCGACAACAACCATTTGAATCTTCCTTCGCAATGCGTGATAGGCCGTTGATGATCAAGGACACCATCCGATCCAACTGGCAGAACCCACAGTTTGCATTCTTAACAGCTTGCCACACTACTGTGGGCGATGAGGAGAGTCCTGATGAGTTGATCCATCTTGCTCCAGCGATGCGCTTTCGCAGTGTGAGGGGTTCTATGTGGTCTGTCGATGATAAGATTGTACAGGAGGTTGTGTCTGCTTTTTATGAGAACATGGTGGATGAAGGCAGATTGGACTGCACACGCGCCGCGATGGCGTTGCAGAAGGCTGTGAAGAGAGAAATCATCATGCAGCTTGTGCCTCGAATCTGCAATGATGCTGACAAGCTCCAATGCGTGCTGCGGTCTGCTTCTCCTGGCGTAGGATACTAATCTGCGCCCATATATGACCTTCCCGTGTTCGACGCGCAGAATAGGGAACCCTAAAGTTTCCAGGCAGGGCGCGAGAGAGAATGCGATCTGGATCGGGGAGATTGTCGAAGGACTTAGGACACACTGTTAGCAAGATGGTGCACAGATGGTTAGTGGACATCCAGAACTTCAATACATCGACAGGCCATTATTTGGTTTGCAGGGTCATCACTGTTGCTGATTTTGAAAATAAAAACGACGTTGAACTGGTCGAACGTCGAGAGTGTCTTCGTTTATTCCTTCCGCTGGTTCTGGTGGACCCTGGGAAACGGTGATTATGTCATCCAGGAATCTTCAACACGCCTCTTTGGCCATGAGTGCAATGAGTTGAGTCTCAGGAAATTCTATGCATTAAAGCTTTCCCGCCTATACATCAATAGTTGCTTTTATTCAACCTTCCCAATAAGAAAGTCCACCCTCGCCAGTCCATACAGCCTTACTTGCCAAGATCTACATCGTATTTATCTGCCGGCCGCTTCCGCGCTTGTTCAATATATGCTCCATTATGGCCCGCTTCCCTTCATCTGGAGACCATCGTGGTTGATGAAATTATAGCTCATTTTCGTGCTCCTGCCCCTATAAGTGATTTGGTGATGCTTGAATCGATGACCCTCTCCCTCCCCTCCTTGCCGGGCGGCTTTCGGCAAGAGTCTGTCGACATGTTTGTACTTCATTTTCCTATGTTGCGGAAATTGACTTTGGTGGAATTGCCAGAAAAACCACAAGTTGATTGTCTTTTGGCAATAGTTGCATCTTTCCAGGTGCCAGTGGTGGACTTCGACGCACCGCTGAGCAACATTTATATTAGCAATATCACGCCATTGCTCTCAGTTGTGGGAGAGGTTACTTTTTGTGGGTAAGTGCTTTACTATCTCGCCCCATGCATTCTATCATGTGAACCGTACAGTACCCGAATTCGCGACAAGGGAAACTGAAGCTACTATGTATACATAAACATGAAGTAAAGAATTTTATTATGCCGGATGCGAACACGCGAATCTCAGATTACACGCCTACGTTTAAAGAACTACTATTCCTCACTACAGATTTCAGCCTTTCGTCTTTCGTCTTGTTTACTTCTGTCAGGATCTTTGCGACGAAGTGATTACCTAGTGTGGGGCGTGATAAGCTTGCGATTTGTCTGTGGGCAGGGGTGCAGCTAAAGTTGGAGTTTCATGTGCATGTGAGGCCATGATACCGGTGAGTCGTATATTCAATACCTTTTGGGGAGACGGATGGGTCGCTAACATTAGTGACTGACACCCATTTAGGTGACTGATCGAGCGGGCACGGCGTAGGTGGCATTGCACAGTTGCTGACGTATATGGTCGACTTCTCGGATGTGCTTTACAGTATCAGGGTTCGAATTAAATTAGAGGTGGAGCATGGATGACATCATGTGAGAGAAGTTCGGTCACTTACGTTACGTCTACCTCTTCCTCAAGTACTTAGTCCAGTAGATCAACCATGAAAACTGAAGTGTTTCCCTTAGGTGACGACGCCGCCAACAACGACGGTGACTGTAACCGACTCGGACAAGGGTCACCGAAACGGATCATTTTGCAATTCTGTGGAGTCATTTGAATAATAACTAAATAATCATCATCAACCGGTGCGTATCTTCTTCCATGTCTTCACCGTCGCCTCACACGATGCCGGTTAGCATCATGTCACCAGTCCCTGGTGCGCGTACTCCCCGTCGCGTACAATGGGCAAGCGCAGATCACATCCACGAACCGGAACCAGTCGATCCACACACACTAGACGAGATGGCTCAAGACTGTGAGTAGTGCCCTCTTATTTATTTTCAACCTCGCTTACATCAAATTTTCGCCTAGCCGAACGCGTTCGAAACACTCAAAGACGCACTTGAGCGCCACCGTTCCTCTCGTACACACTCCCCATCCGCTCATGGCATGTCCCCTACGGAAGACGTACATACCTATCCCCCAAGCACACCTTCAACCCTGCCTGCATCCCCTACCTCTTCTGAACCGTTTCTCCCACGCCGCACACACGCCCTCCCAGGCGAAGTCTTCATCGACCCCCTAGAAAGCGCTGGTCTCCCCCTCTCTTCAAGGCAACGAAGCGGAGACTCTGAAATCCCGGCAGACGGCCGTGTCGAACACCTCGCCGTGCGCGAAGCAGCAGGCGTTGTCAGAGCGCATACCAAACGATGGGATGTCCTCGGTCGTCGTCACCGCTCGAAATCACGATCACGAGTCCCAGTTGTAGAACAAGACTCTGAAAAAGAAAATCGTGATACAAACGGCGAAGTCGAAGAGGAGAAACATCACCCAACTCCGCAACAACCACCCAAAAAGTCATGGTGGCATTTCCACACACCCCCCTCAGTTGCTCCTACCCCTCACCACCCCCCACCTTACGCACAATCACGCGGTCCTTATGATCCTGAATCTCATCCTCCGGCATATGCTTCCCAGCCGAAACTAGGCTCTGGCGTGCTGAGTGCGTTGTTGGCGCTCTACAGCAACGAACACGACGAGCACGATCCCTCACATAGCGAAGACGAATCAGACCTCTCTAATCCCGATCGTCCATGGCTCCTTCACTCCTCCCACCCCAAGTCTAAACACAAACAATCGTCCTACAAGACTTTAAACCAAACACTCCACTCCGCCTCAAGCAGCACCGCCTCCCTCCTTTCTTCCCTCAAGCCAGGTCCCTCGGGTTCGAGTATGGCTGCGCTCATTGCGGGTGCGGGGACGTTGAGCGGCGCTGCTGCGCCTACGCAGTTGGAGTTAGCGCCTGATTTGAAGATGAAGAGGGGATATGGGCTTGTTAGGTATCGGGTCGAGGATGGAACCGAGGACGAGGGGACTAGGGAAGGGAATGCGGAGGTAAGGGAAAGACAACGAACATCAACACCTCCCCGTCTCAGCCTCCATCTCCCCCGTCGTTCAAAGAGCACCGATACCGATTTTACGAGAGGGATCGGTGGGCGCGTCGAGGAGGACCACGAAGGTGAGGGGGAAGTTGCTCTTAAAGCTGCTATCCAATCCCAGGATGAGTCCACAATAGACCTCGAGGAAGAAGTGATAGACGTCGAGGAGGAGGAAGGTTCACCAGATACGCTCGCTCCTCCGACGACCGAGACTACCTCTACGTCGACTCCTACTTCCACCCCCTCCGAATCAACTCCACCAACCCTCCCCCCTACCTCAACCTCCACCAAGAAACCAAAATCGAAACGCTGGAAAGGAGTCTTGAAGGATATTCCGCTTCCACACCACTTGCCTACTGCGCACTTGAAGGGGTTTTCGTTGAGCATACCCAAAACGCCTTTAAGATACCCTGTCAGTACGAGTGGGGCTTCTACCCCTGGAACTGGGACGAGGGCGAGTAGTGTTGCTGGTTCGCCTGATGAAAAGGGAAAAGATGATGATTATTTCGGTACAAAGTGGATCGAGGAGCAGAAGGAGAGGGATAGAAAGGAGAAAAAAGAGAGAGAGAGGAGGGAGAAGGAGAAGAGGCGGAAGAGGAAAAGGGCGGAAGTTTATGTGCGTTTCTTTTCTCCTTTTCTTCCTTTCCTCCGTTCACTTCTCTACCACACCTGACTCACTCTCACTACACAGATCACCCGACACGTAGCAGCCATCCTCCAACGGCAAGAATTCATCCTCAAACTAGCCCGTGCAATGATGATGTTCGGGGGTCCCTCGCACAGACTCGTCGCGCAGATCCAAAGCACAGCGCGTGTCCTCGAGCTTGAGATGAGCTGTATGTACCTCCCTGACGTCATGTGGATCAGCTTCGAAGACAGTGCGACGGGGACGAGTCACGTCAAGTTTATCAGGCAGGGGAGTGTGTTGGATGTGGGGAAGCTAGGGGAGGCACATGGGTTGTATTGGGATGTATGTGTCTCTTTTCCATTCGAATGATAAATGAACTAATCTCACTACAAATGCATAGGTCATTCATGACACCATCTCCGTATCCTCAGCCAGCACCGCCCTTGACAACCTAATGCGCAGGAAGCCTACCTACTCCTTCCCCCAACTCATATTCCTAGGCGGTATGTGCAGCAGCAGCATCTGCAGCGTCAGCTTCAACGGCAGCTTCATCGACTCCCTCGTTTCCTTCCCGCTCGGTGCGCTCCTTGTCGCCATCCAGCTCCTCAGCGTCCGTAATGAGTTGTATGGGAACGTGTTTGAGATAACGGTTGCCACACTTCTGAGCTTTATGAGCGCTGCGCTCGCTAGTACGAAGAGGGTTTGTTATGAGGCTGTTGCTAGTAGTAGCGTGGTCTTGATTTTGCCTGTGAGTCCTGACTTCTTTAATTTCCTTTTCCTTACCTCGCTTCCTTCCTTTCATCCTTCCTCTTGGATCGCATCCCACCGCTAACAAACCCCCAGGGCTTCATAGTTTTAAACGGCTCCCTCGAACTTTCCTCCCGCTCCCTAGTAGCAGGCTCCGTGCGTCTCTGCTACGCCCTTGTGTACAGCCTGTTCCTTGGCTTTGGGCTCGCCATCGGAGCTGAGCTCTATCAAACAATGCTCAGCAAACCCCTATTAGGGGGCAAAGATTATATGTGTTCTACGAGTCCATGATGCCGAAGGCGGGTGGTGGCAGCGCACCCCGAGTTTGTGGTGGGCGTTTCTGAGTGTGCCGTGTTATAGTCTGTTTTTGAGTTTGAGGTTTGGGGCTGTTGTTGGGAAGAGGGAGTTGGTGAGTTTTGGTTTTGTGGGGGTGTTTGGGCTTGGTCCCGTCGAACATCTCACATCCGTCAAACTCCTTTCTAGCTGATACTGATTCCGACACCTAGTTCCTCCTAGTCGTCATCTCATGCATTGGATGGGTGACGAACCACTTTGTGGGCACCAAGTTCCCAAACCAGAGCGATATATCAGCCGCTGTTGGGGCGTTTGCTGTGGGATTGGTGTCGAATCTCTATGGAAGATTTTTCGCGGGAAATGCATTTGTCGTTATGGTGCGTTCTCTCTTTTGCATCAAGGAATTGATATCAAACTTCACCACTCGCACCAAACTCACACGTACACAGATCACAGGCATACTCTTCCAACTTCCTTCAGGCCTAGGCAACGGCGGACTATTCAACTTTGTTGTCGATCAAACCACAGGGTCGAGCTCCTCCTACCAAAGCGGGTTCAATACAGCGCTCCAGTTGATCAGCACGAGTATCGGGCTGACCGTGGGTCTCGGAATCAGTTTGGTGCTCGTTCATCCTGTCCAAAGCAGGAGGAGGGCTGCGGGGATGTTTAGTTTGTAGATGTGCGGGCGACGTTGATTTTGGTGTTGGTATGCGTACCCGCTCCCCGCATTGCTACTTTCGTACGTTTGCCTGCATCGTTCCTCGTTCATGCTGAACTAGCATTTTGCATTCAATGTCAACATAGATCTGATAGACATGTAGATCTTCATGCTCATCCATGCTTCCTAAATTTATCGCCTAATTTTCTTTTAGATCGAAACGCTCGTTCACTGTTCATTTTTTTCCTACACGGACATCGTCTTCATTTTCATTGTTTTCATACATTGTTTGTTTGTCTGCGCATGTTCATTTTCATTCTCATTTTGGTTGTCAATCCATTACACAATGTATATACATCAAACGCAATAAACATCGACGTTCGTTTTTATGTCTTCGCTCGTTTGTCTGAGCACGTTCATTTCCGTTTTCACTAATAATATATGCATTGTAATTCATTTGGGAGCTATGTTTGTGTGGGTAAACTCGTGACCAGTCGGTCTACACGAGTTCTCGATATTACGGGGGCTAATTGGGTAGCTGCCGAAAACGATTTGAATCGCTCGAGTAAGTGACTGAAAGACGTAAACTTGACAGTGGCACGATATTTCTCGTCCTGCATCAGGAGCCGATCTGGCGATGGATAACTAGCGGGGACTTGGATGCCGAAGATGTAAAACATGAAAAAAGTGTCAAGTGTACGTAGCCTACAAAACGTCGCGAAGTAACTCCGAGTCGGTTCGGGTTGAGATGAGATATCATTGCCCCGAAAGTTGCATCATTCATAATGCATAATGTCGGGGCCGGTGTGTGATCCGAATGAGCTATACATACGTGCGAGTTAGAGTCCAGTGGGCCGCCGAGCTTAGAGCAAATGAAGATGTACAGATCACGATCACTTGACCGGCCAACGTTTGGTGTTGTATGGATTCCCGAATTGGAAGCTTCATGTGCTTGAGGAGAAAAACATATGGAGAGTCTCGTGTCTTCTGGGAGCAGGCCTGAAATACCGCTCCCCTTCTGGAAGAACTCAGTTTAAGCTACTTCCTTTTCCATCGATAGTACTGGTGCGCTTTGCTCACACGGCAAAGGCGAAAAGTGCCGGGAGTGACAGAGATTTTCTGCTTGGGGGTAGATTGATTGGATAACCTGTACGAGAATTGACGAAGTGCACAAGCGAGGACTTGAGCCCTGCACCGCAAACGTAGTCGGTTCACAACTGATAGATCCTTAGAAGCGAGATGTAAGTCGGCATAAGCACGGGAGAAAACCACTACTATGTCTATTGTGCGACCATCAGCAGCAGACACGGTGGAATCGTGAATCCAAGTCATGCATGGCATGGTAAAGTTGACGACGTTCAAGCCTTAAACTTGAAAGACCCCGTTATCAAATATCAAAAATTTACTAGTGGAAGTTTAGCAGCCAAAGACTCACGCGGCACAAGTCATCACTGACAACCGTTCTAGAGACTACAGAATTGGGGGATAACCGTAGGTTGAGGAAATGTTGGGGTGACGGGCAAGTGATTGTTCATCCTGTTACGATGCGTCGGGTTGAGAGGACTGGGCCAGCCTAGAATACGGTATATCTGCCAGGCAGCCAGTGGCTGGCCAGCCATGCTCTGCAACGTACCGTGCGAAGCGACCACGGACCGGTTGCTATAAATGGCGCGTCTGAACTTGAAGTTGACTCCAAGACGCTTGACAACTCTTAATGGATTCTGCATCGTGCACACACCATCAATTAGAATCTTCCTGAGATAGAGCCCTTGAAGCTCCGAACATATTCAAACCACTAAGTGTCACTGGCATGCCTGCCACACGGAATACACGCAAGAAAAATAAATTCGAATCATCTTCAATTGGTCAAGATTCGAGGAATTCGAAACGGCTTCGCAAGCGCGTCAACTCGAAGGTACGACCTGGAGAGAATGTCCATAATAAACAAGTTGCTACATCCATAGATGATGCCTACCAGCTATCGAAACTAGCTGATGCACAGGCCCCTATCATATTGGGGCCGGTACCGGTGGCACAGTCATCGACTTCGGAGGTGCTTCCTTTGACTCCTTTGACATCTTCTTCATATCCTTCTGTGGCACCTGCACCAATGCTCTTGAAAGGCCGTAAGAGATTCAGTGCTGATCTTCACGACCTGCACACGACCTGCCCATCTGACCTTGATAGGGGAACGTGGTCTGCGCAAAGTAAGCGTGGTTTAGCATCTCCGATACTCAGCCCCACCAACATCGATCTTCTTAGGTTTCAAAGCAGGGGATGACGATGGTTCAGTAGAGTTCGACCTGATAGAATCTAGAGATCGGACAAGGATAGTAATGCATCTTTTGTGTTCTGGTCAGTCATTATCAAGAGGGGAAGTATCGTCGGTACTGATTGTTATCCATATAGACACCTCAGAGTACCCCAACACTCATTCATTCTTCTGCCATTCCCCAGAACCTGGGAGTTATGGGGAGCAGGTGAAGGAGATGTGTGACGGGGTACTCAATGACAGTCCACGTACGATCCACGACGTGGCGAGGCATTTCTTGATTAGTATTTCTGGTGACGATGACAGCGAAGATGACCAAAATTACGATATGATCGAGGATGAGGATATGAGTACGTTCACCAGACCACAGATCTCTCGCTCAGTCTTGCGCAGGTGCGCCAATTTTTACGCAGATGACTATTCTCTTACACGCATCACAGAGACTTCGAAGGCACTCATGCAGCCGGTTATACACCAGGAGCCATTTGGAGTGGCAGCAGCGAGTTCTTCTTGACAATATCTGTCCCTGTGGTGGAATTGACTGATAAAATTCCCGCCCATGTCCTGATGTCCTGGGATAGCCAATTCCTACTTCCTTGCCAGCATCTCGTGTTGCTCATCTCTGGATTCCGGGGTATCTATCCGCCTGTTCAGAGCGATGGGACACTCTCCCCTGCTGCAATCCGTTCTTGCACCTCATTGAAATTTTACGTCGGCCTTTCTCGAAATTACAAGCCGTCGAAAGGGCACGTCATCGCTTTACTCCGCCGATACGGTCTCCATTCCGACCAGCAGAATGGTGTTGAAGATGGCACGTTCGAAGAATACGTCGACGTTGAGATGGAGTCTGAAACAGAGGATGACGGCGCCTTTGACAAGTTTAGTTTGACCAGCTCGCTTGAATCATTATTTAATGAGCACTTTCTTCAACTGCTCCGAGTTCGACGACAGTTCAAACTCGGTTGGGCTGCAGCTGAAGAACTCTATTGGAGATCGCAGGAACTTCAGAGAACGCCTGCAGTTCTTGTGAAGGAAATGCAGGAGGTGCGTTTTAGATTGACATAAGTAACTGTCATCTATTTCATTTTTGTTCCACTTATAGGAACTTCGTCAAGCCGAGGAGGAAGAGCAACGTCTAGGTGGCTCCCGCTACTTACCGCATGATCCCTTGGAAAACCAAGATGGTCACATCAACTTACTCGAGACTGCTTTTGCGTACCTTCTCCGTCGATTCACAGTCAGTAGCATGTGGATGGTCACTTCGACTCGTGCTGAATTAACAACAGATATGCAATCGTTATTGTGTCGTCTGTCACAAGAAACTCGATACCCTGTTCGAGGCGCTAAAACCTTATGTTTGCAACTCTGGTTTGTGTGCATATCAATACTATAGCCTCAACTTTGGGCCCTCCCTAGAGGTTAGCGAACTTTCAGCTGGAATTATCAAACCTCTACTTATTGATTCGTTCAGTATGATATCTGCAAGAATACTGAGATGGTAGATCTCCTAGTTTCCCTCACTTATGTTGCTGCCGCAGAACAGGTTCTTGACGAGCCCCTTCCGCGTGGCTTATCGTTGAAGGTTCCAGACCCCAACGATAAATATTCAATGCGTGACTTCGATAGCTTGGCAGTCAGCGAAATGCGTATTGCAATCATGCAACTCATCGACACACTACCTCCGGTTCGAATGTCTCTCTTCATTGCCGACGCTAATGCTTAAGTAAATGCAGATTCAGGACATGAAGAAACACCTTGAGAAGAAAGTTGTTACAAGGAGTAACAAGCTGAAGTTGAAGGACATGAATTCCAGTATTTTGCCCGCTGCATGGTCCATCTTGCGTTGGTACGTTTTATGCTTCTGAGTCATTGACCTAGTTCAAACCCCACTAGGTGTGTTGCCTCTTGCACGGCACACCTACAAGAGTTGACTGAAGAGGAAGATCAAGTGCAGAACATAGGCACGTGTGATTTACTCGTTTCCAGTTCATTTACTTATTCGGTAATGACATAGGCTCGCAGTGGAGACAATTCCGCTTCATTGTCGGTGCCCCTGACAAAGAAGCGAAGTTCAAATATGCCTTGGAGCAGGAAACACGCGGATATTCTAATGCGAAGAATCATCCCACTCTCTATGTATGTTTTTTGGTATTTTTGTCAGTGGCAATCTTTTTTGATACAGTACATCAGGCTTTCCATGGCTCACCTTTGAAGAATTGGCATTCCGTAAGTCATTCAAGATGTCTGTGAAAGATACCACTGATATATTTGATAGATCATACGGCACGGACTATGGTATAAGACGGTGACACATGGCCGGGCACATGGAGATGGCAAGTAGACGATCTAATCATTGTTAATAATCTATCTTATTCTGTTCAGGTGTCTACTTCGCCAGAGACGGCGTAGTTTCGATGGGAACCTATGCTGCGGGTGGCACACAATCCTGGAGGAATAGCACGATTGCTCCTTCAGCTTGCGTAGCTCTCGCGGAGATAATCAATCTCCCGCAAAGATTTACCTCGTGTAACCCATATTACGTGGTCAAGCAAACGGAATGGATTATGTGGTAAGAGCCATGCTTCAGTTCGGTCATCAAGAGCTGATGGTCTACTTGTAGTCGATATTTGCTAGTCAATACAATCGACAGATCACACACTGATAGCGGATTTCCTGGTATTAGCACCACCATCCCTGCCACTCCTACCAAATCGAAGGTCCGAAATGTTCCTTTTATCCAACACGAGCCAGATCGTCGTCCCCTACTTATGAATAGCTATGTCGAGATCCCGCAGCCTTCTTACAAACTTGAGAAACTTCTCAGGCTTTGCCAGGACGCGTATGTCCCTCCTAACCTTGATGAGGATGACAGCGCTGTGTTTAACGCGCCCAATGAAGAGGAGGAGAGCATCGCACCACACGTCAACGGAAAACCAAAGCAAGATTGGATACATGATGCGAGTTGGGTGGAGAAGAATATTGGCCTCTTGCTGCCTCCGCCTGTCGATTCGACTCCAGGAGCGACGATGGCACTACAGAAAGAATTCAGGGCGATGATGAAAGAACAGGGGGGCGCGGAGTCACTTGCTACTTTGGGATGGTACATGCCTCCAGAGTGCAATGAGAACTTATTTCAGTGGGTAGTGGAGATGCATTCATTTGATCCTGATTTGCCTATTGCGAAAGATTTGAAGTCAAAGTGAGTTTGAGCTGCGTGTTGTGGATCTGACTATGCTGATAGATCGCTCTTTCTAAAAGGGGCGTCAATTCGCTTGTTTTTGAGATCCGTTTCCCGCCGACGTTCCCTCATTCTCCTCCGTTCTTTCGACTCGTGATGCCTCGGTTCCTTCCTTTTATGCAGGTATGAGGTGAATGATACAAATGCTTGGTGTAGCTGACTTTCGATGTCTAGGGTGGAGGTGGACATGTTACTGTTGGTCAGTATCACTGAAGAGTTAGTCATTGTTACACACCGACTTACCTGTATTTATGTAGGGGGCTCAATTTGCATGGATCTTCTAACTTCAGCTGGTGAGTCGCGACTATCAATTTGATCTCGATAGCATGTACTGACATGTATCTAGGATGGCTCCCAAGTTACAAGTGCGTATCTCGCGAGGTATCATTCACGCCGATCTGACACCCCCTCATAGCATCGCATCCGTGCTCTTACAGATCAAGCTCGCCATCTCGAGCACCGACCCCAAACCCGCGCGGCTAGCCCAAGATTGGGAACAGTACGTCTCATCGCCCGTTAGAAACCGAGTTCTGACTCTTGCAAAGACCGTATCATCCACAGGAGGCGTTGTCAGGGTATACGAGAGCGGCAGCTATCCATGGTTGGAAGGTACGTTCATTCTTTGTTTTCCATCATGCCTTTTAACGGCATTTCCAGGTCGCAGATCCGAGGGCAATGGAAAGACTTGTCACATGGGGTTGAAGCAAACTTGGATGTAGTTGCACGGATGTGATCTTAAAACATTGGAAATTGGAAATGTGTGGAACGCACAAGTCCCGACTCCCGAGTTTCAGTGTCCATTTGCGGTGCACCTTCCTGCACACTTGCCGCCATGAATGATAGCGAGATAGGAAATATGAATTTGGTCGCGACAAACAATAAAAAACCGTAAGCTGCTAAGTAAGGTCTATGTCGGCAACGCCGACCCCTAGTTGGAATGTACGGAACGGACTGAATATCTTCAGTCTTTGTTTTGTGCACTTCCTCAACAAGAAAAAAACACGTACTAGTATGCGATACTACAGGAGAATTATCTGTTAAATAGGATCCTTGTGCGGACATGAGTTGAAACTCTTGCAACGTTATGCCAGGCGAGGATTCAAGGCCGTCTTCAAGCTGTCTGAATGTCAATACCGACTAGCATCGACAATGATCCCTGGACCATGTTCAGCCGCCTTCTGGAGGTCATAAAACAATGGAGGCAGGAGAAAACGTGAGAAGTCAGGAAGCATGCGAATGCGTGTGATGACACCATCCCATTGCATGGTCAATTGTCAGATTTACGAAGACTGGTCTGGGGGAAGTAGGAGTAATGCGGCACGATTGAGCTAGATGGCCTCATCAAGGTCAGATGTGATGCTCTGCTGCAGGAATCTGTGTCGAAGGTCAAGTGCAAGATTGTTCAGAGACGAGGATCGATCTGAATGGTCGGGGGGACGGAGTAGTAATGCGGCATGATGGAGCTCGATGGCCTCATCAAGGTCAGACATGATGCCCTGCTGCTTGAATCTGTCTCCAAGGCAGAGTACAAGATTTTTCAGAGACATGGATCGATCTGAATGACCGGGGGGACAGAGGAGTAATGCAGCCCGATGGAGCTCGATGGCCTCATCAATGTCAGACATGATGTCCCGCTGCAGGAATCTGTCTCGAAGGTGGAGTGCAAGATTGTTCAGAGACTTGAATCGATCTGAATGACCAGGGGGAAGTAGGAGTAATGTAGCATGATGGAGCTCGATGGCCTCATCAATGTCAGACATGATGCCCCGCTGCAGGAATCTGTCTCGAAGGCAGTTTGCAAGACTGTTCAGAGACATGGATCGATCGGAATGACCAGGGGGACAGAGGAGTAATGCAGCACGATTGAGCTCGATGGCCTCATCAAGGTCGGACATGATGCCCCGATGCCGGAATCTGTCTTGAAGGCTGAGTGCAAGATTGTTCAGAGATGAGAATCGTTCTGAATGACCGGGAGGACGGAGGAGTAATACAGCACGATTGAGCTCAATGATCTCCTCAAGGTCGGACATGATGCCCCGCTGCCGGAATTTGTCTCCCAGGCTGGCAGCAAGATTGTTCAGAGACTTGGATCGATCTGAATGACCGGGAGGACGGAGGAGTAATACAGCACGATTGAGCTCAATGATCTCCTCAAGGTCAGACATGATGCCCCGCTGCCGGAATTTGTCTTCCAGGCTGGCAGCAAGATTGTTCAGAAACTTGGATCGATCTGAACGACCGGGTGGACGGAGGAGTAATACAGCCCTATGGAGCTCAGTGACCTCATCAAGGTCAGACATGATGCCCCGCTGCTGGAATCTGTGTTGAAGGCCGATAGTAAGATTGTTCAGAGACGAGGATTGTTCAGTATGGCCGACTGGGCGGAGGAGTAATGCAGCCCGATGAAGCTCAATAGCCTCATCAGGGTCTGACATGATGCCCCACTGCCGGAATCTGTCCTGAAGGTTGAGGGTGAGATTGCTGAGAAACAAGTATCGAAGAGAATGGCCTGGAGGACCAAGTTGCAACGTAGCTCGATACACTAGGTTAATAAGGGAAGATGACCATTGCCCCATCTCGCTGTGAAAGGTCTCTCATTGAGTGTAAAATGAAGTGAAATCGGAATGAGTACACACTTATGGAGCTGAAACTGCAGTATTGGCACACTAAAGACCTCCCAATGCGAGGGAAATGATACGGTGAGTGCTCAACGATCCCAGGAATTTGACGGCCAGCTGGAAGGCCATAGTGAGATTGAGGCTCTGTTCGAGAACTACACGGGGCTAGGGTATTGCAGCCTGTAAAGTACATGTGCAAGTCGCAAGTTGAATACATGAAACCGCACAGCAGCTGCGCAACCTGCGCATCCCGTCAATATTTCACCTAGAATAACACGAGGACACGATGAGTTCATTGACCTTCAATTACATACTTCTTGGCAGGCTGTGACTTCGGAAATATTGCAGGCGTGTTTTACTGGCGTAAGTCTACTGCAAATTCTCGCAAAAGGCGTCCAAAAATATGAGAGGCATGATAGAAAGCACTAGTGGCCGCTACTAGCAAGTGGTACTAGGCCTCCACCACTCCGACTCGTGTTGGCGATGTCAAGTAGTTGTCCGATCATTCGAGCTTAGACTCTTAGACTCTGTTTGTGCTGCTACGGTGATGCCAGTCGATGTTTGATTTAGAAGAAGACTTGAACGTGTGGGTAGTACATGCTGCAAGTATGCCTCTTCGAAGTGTAACACGCTTGGTCGAACGGATGGCATAATCATGACTCACGGTAACGTGGGCCAGACTCCAGTGCCGTTGTAACTGTCTCACGCCTACTTAGCAGTACGACTACTGCCTATGTTAGGATAGGATGGATCGCAAGCACGTAGCAGTATTCTGGACGGCAGCCTCTGATTGCGAATTATCCCATACCCTCATCATCGCCATCCACTTCTCAAACCATTCCCAGAATGGACCTGACAACTTCCCTCTGTTCCCGTAGAGTTCCTTCCAAAGATCGTCCAAAAAATCCTGCAGTCTGGAAACGATCATCAGGAAAGCAGCGCGCGGTGCTCGTTGTTTCCGTCTCTCGTCAAATAACAATTGTTCGACTGTTGAACGAAGAGTACCCAAGGACCTTTCTACCGCACTACTAGGCATTAGGACAGACCATCAGAAGTTCGCAGGAATGAGCACACACTTCGGGTTGGTTGTTTGCAACACTCGTAATGCATCGCTGATCATCTTGATATCTTCGACGAGAACATTATATGCGTGACTAATTACCGCGTGTTCTGTTTCCTTGGAATCCCACTGAGGTACGACATGACTTGTGTCGAAAATGTCGTTTAAAATGACAGATACAGCAGCCTAAGCCCTGTGAATGAGATATGGCAGCGTGTGTTACTTTTCGCGTACCTCAGCAGCTTTCGCAGGATTCCGCGAGCGACGTAAACCGACTGCCAAACTCGCTTGTATATCTGAAAAAAAAAAGTTAACCTCAGCCATGATGGTAGTAGTTGAGCATACTAGCCTGGAGGTAACGTATCGCCCGGGGAGAAGTCTCTGCGACTCAAAACTAACCGAGGCTTTGTGGCGTCTGTCTTGCTCGACCTCGAATGCATTTCTGCTGTAGTCAAGGATATAGCCCTGAAAGGAACGTAGAGAGCGAGATTGACATCTACAAACTCGAGAGCTTCGCTCGTCGTCCTGCGATTTTGGGGGATTTCTGACCAACACCCTTGGATGAACTGCCACTGCTCCCGAGTGATGGATTTGTCCGAATCAGAAGGTGACGCTGGGGCGACTCCCAAAAGTAACTCGACGAGCACATCACTGTCCTTCAAGGTGGAATATGGTAGCGAGCCCGAAAGGACCTGCATAATTTATTGATAAAACGCGTAGTTTCCGTAAAGACGGACTTACGAGGTAAATAATACTGCCCAATGAATACCTATCACCGGATATACTTGGCAGGGGCACTTCTTCGCGACTGGACTTTTTGAAGAGTTCAGGGGCAGCAAATCGTATGGCGCCAGATGTTGACAGGCGAAAGTATGACATGCCTAAGACCTCTGGAACTAGCACACTGAGACCGGGGTCCGCTAGACTGGCTCTACCAAGGGCATCTACCAGCACGTTGTTCTTCAGACATATGTTAGATTGATTGTGTGAATTGGATGGAAATTATCCTTACGCCAGAAAGATTTCCATGTATAATGCCATGAGAGTGTACTGTGGAGAGGGAAGCACAGCTCAAGCTCACGTCAAATATTGAACAGAAATGACTGAACGCACAATAGTGAAGTCCCGAGACAATGTTTTCGAGCTATTGTTCGGCAGGTGCAAGCAGGAGGTCTCAGTTGAGGTGGTAATGCAGCGAAAAACCGACACAAACAAGTTTGAATTTATCTTGAACAGTCAACGTTGCATGTTTGCATGATAAATAAGTCGAGAGGGTTCCGTTTTCTTTCCAAGGATGGACTACCGATACTATTGGGCCGAAGTCCATGACAACGCCATATAAAGGGAGTATATTTTCGTGTTCAAGCTTCGCCCAGGCATGAATTTGCTGCGACCATATCTATCATATCTTGGTTTATATCGAGGCTTCTGAAAAGGTGAACATTAGTACGTACTTTGTGCGTTTCGGCGAGTTCACCCTGGCTTGTACTCTCGATCCGAAACGTCTTCACTGCAACCTGTACCAGCCAGATTAGTCCCCAAACAGCTCCGCATGGGCCAAAACGAACCTTGGTGGAGCCGGTGTCCTTGAACCACGTACATTTCCAAACATCTGTGATACCTCCTGATGTTGTCGGGACGCTTGTGTCTGCGACGACATCGCCTGACAAGTCCGTCACAACATGTCTCTCGCTTCTAGCCGAAATAGAATATCTATGGCGCCGTACGTCGCTGGAAGACGACGAAGCAAGTAGAGGAGCTACTGGTGGAGCATAAAATACGAGGCCGCTCATGCTGTCAGTGCGGAGCGGAACTATCGTGCGTCCAGTAATTTAAAGGAGATGTACAAGCCCCCAGCCCTTATTTATGAGGCAATGCGTGAGCGCCAATACACGGACATGTGAGATTGCACAACATGGTTGGACATGGGTTGGCAGGCATTTGAACTAAGCCGACATCCATACATGCTTTAGCCTCGAGCCTTGGTGCTGAATGAAGAAAATGATATGAAACTTTCCGAACACGAGTTCTGCACTCACCTACTTATTTGCGCCAAGCTATGATGCTATCATTGCTATGTACAAGTTATCTGGAAAAGTTCAATACAACTTGAAGTTCTGTCAATTGTTGTCATGACAGATTATGGAGTGTTTGGGGTCTTGTCTGAGTTTAAATTACAATACGCGATAGATGTTGGCCAGCCTCCATCACAACCAATACCAGTGAGTCTACTACAAGTACCTCCCGCCATTCCTTTCATCAGACCGCGCGACACAGCGGATACGCTCTTTTTTTCAGAAGGGTTTTTATACCCAAACTGAGGCCAACCTAATAAGAAAAATCCATATTTCACCGACATGAACAAACGAGGATTAGCGCACGTTCGCGTTGGGCATGCTGGTGCACCACAAACGCACCAAAAGCGTTCTTGTAAGTTTACAAATGAATGAAATGTGCATTGCGCTAGATCCTGATCTTTGCAGCATGCGCAACAGGCGGTTTTTACATCAGCCCCTCTCAGGGTCAAACTGTTTCTAGCAGTAGTCCCTTCAATATCACATGGGACACATCCTGCTTGCCCAACACACAAGCTGTCGATATCTATCTTATTGCCCCCAGCTTGAGCAGCAGCCGTATCCACGAGTGGCAAAATGTTAATTACGCCTTGGGAACTTATCAGACCAGCCTTGAGACCAAGTGGTGGAATGACACGTCCACGGTCAATCTACAGCTTTCCATCGTCACCACCAACACACAACCATTCCTTAGCCCGTTTCCCGCGGGCCCTGTATTTACTGCTACATATACTGCACCATCCGATGGTTCTACCCCAGCCAGCGCCGATCTCAGTTCTCCTGGCGGTGTCACTTATGTTGGAAATTTCTCTTCCAATAGCTCTTCCTCTAGCGGCAAGATCGCTGCCGGCGTCCTGGTGCCGCTGATTTTCATCGGACTGGGACTAGCCGTCTACTTCAAATTAAGTCGTGCCAAATCCAAGGAAAAGAGCAGACGCTTCAGCGAGGCCATCGACAAGCGTATGTCGACGATTTCCGTGGACTGGAAGTCCATGTCTGCTGCTGGCGCTTCGGCAGCCATTCGTCACAGTATGGCAGTTTCAGTCGGAGGAAATCGCAACTCGTCGTTTTCCTCTGGTCCACTTCGTCCTGTCAGCACTGCTGCTGTTGAAGGCGATCCTTCTATATCAGACAAAGACAGCTTTGACGTGCCAAGGATGTCTCAACTACGCTCCGGTTTGCGTTCTCAGACTAACTTAGGCGAGCGGGTATCACGAGTGTCATTCGCTACAGACATTCGTCCATCAATAGAGTCTCGTCGCACGGTCGGAACCAGTCGTGCCTTCCATACTGGCTTTGTGCCTCCTCTTCCTTCCAACGATGACAAGGAAGAGACGGGAGACCTTTCTCCCACACAAACGAAGGGACCCTTTACTCTCACTCCAGATGATATCCGTGCCCGCATGTCCCTTAGTGGACCATCGGAGGCGCGTCCTAGCATGGATGAAGTTTGGCCGTCCTTGAGCAGTAGGTTTCTTATGGTTGTTTTCTATGCACTGGAAAGTTGACCTTTAAAATAGTGATGCGCACAGGAAACGAAGCTGGTGGAGATGATTATTTGCTACCCCAAGAACAGCAGAGCGTTGATATGCCTCTTCCTCCCGTTCCAGCACATCCTGCCCCGGAATCAGGTCTTTCTATGATGCCCATGCCTGCCAGCGTCATGTCTCCCGACGAGATGCTCCGCGCCTATGCCGAACGGAGAATGAAGTCCCCTCCCCCTACTGGCTCCTTGGCATTCCCTATCCCAGCTGCGAGCTACAGTGGTAATGGTATGCGGACGCTGTACACTCCCAGCCTCTCTACCCAGGAGGGGGGCGAGCAAAACAACCGTTACACTCAAGCGTATGATGATCCTTACGCTGGCACCGCAACTTGATCCTGCAGATCTGTGGTGTAATGGTGTAACTTCACGTTAAGATAACGATATCGCTCTTTCGGTCTATCGCGTTTCGGTTCCGTAGCCTCGGTTTCACGACAACTTTGTACTTTTTGCAGTGTTACGTTGCCTTCTGATTCCACCTTTCCTCTTTCAGATTCGTTATCGATACGTGCGTCCGCGTCAGTGGTTCTTATTGCGTATCTATTCCCTGCGTACCCTTCATACCCACGTCATCGCCTCTTCCCATTGTTTCTAACGTTACCTGTTCTGGTCCCCGGCGATAGTGATCAGGACCTTGTACCCACTTTGTCACGGGACGCCGCTGGACTGGCAGCCCTCGACTATGATTACCCAATTGTGATTGTCGGTTTGGAGTTCAATTTGATTCTCTCTTATCGTGATATTTGACTGGTGAGTATATATTGAAGTCACATCTGAATGTCTGCATTACATTGTCGTGTGCTGTTGAATCGTCAATTTACAGGCTTTCCTCCGTTCTTGAGGGTCCTGAGTTCATTTTGCCATGGCTCCCACACTTGTCCATATTTCTTGAGCAGTGCCATCAACTCCTCCCGCTGTTCTTTCTGTAGCCACAATGAGTACGCGGCACTGACCAATCCATCGACTCACTATATTCCAGGGCTCTTCCACGTACACATCAGTGAACATGTCCTTCAGGTCAGGCTTTTTGACAGTCTCCGCGCGCTTGAATGCCTTTATCACATCACGTCTCAAACGGAACGCGAGTTCATCCTCATCCGTCTGGTTCCACCACCCCCGGGATTCCATGAATAGGCGGAATCGTGTGATGGGGTTGTCATTCTTTGTTTTGTCTTCAACTTCCTGGCGCTCCCTGTAGACATACGAGTCATCCGACGTCGAATGATGGCCAACCCGGTAAGTCATCATCTCCACTAGAACTGCCCGACCACCTTCCAAGCACCGTCTTCGCGCCTCCTTGACAGCATTCATTACCGCGAGTACATCGTTTCCATCTACACGAACCGTATCCACACCATAACCTACAAGTGATGTTCGATTACTATTCACACAAATGGATACACGACGTGTGATCAAGTTACCTGGGCCTCTTGCACTGATACCATCGCCGTAAAACTGTTGCGAATTCGGGGTACTGATGGCAAACCCGTTGTTTCTTGCCAGAAACAATGTTGGTGAAGGCAGCGTCGCAGCGAGGAGCAATCCAGCATGGAAGTCCCCCTCTGACGCTGCGCCTTCCCCGAAAAACGCGCATGCCACATTTTTGGAGCGTCTCGCTGGATCACGTCTCAGTGCAAATCCAACTCCAGCAGCTTGTGATATTTGAGTTGCGAGTGGAGAGGATATGGTGTGGAAATGGTGCTGCTTGGAGCCGTAATGCTAAGGGAGCAGCAGTAGATGCTGAGCAAAGTTTCGAGAGGGAAGACGCAAAGCGACGTACCACAGCTATCTGGCGGCCTTTGCCAGAATCTTCGTGATTTCCGAAAACTTGCGCCATGATGCTATCAAGAGTGAAACCACGCCACAAGAGTACCCCTGTTTCGCGATACTGTGCTGTGGCAGGATCAGAAGAAAAACATAAATAACACGGAAATTGGTCCGACATAATACTCTGGAAACAAGAGTGTCTCATTATCAAACCAGACTATGGGTCCAGAGAAACTCACTCGTCATCATCTGCAAGTGCAGCAGCAGAGCCAATTACAGTAGCCTCTTCTCCATACTTGAGATATGAGGTCAGCGACTAGCATTTATACCTGCACGATCCTTACAGAAGTCGCCTAAATTGAAGCTATGTAAAAGAATGCCTAAGGGGTGCTCTTATCCACGTACGTAGAAGGGTATTCTGCCTTGGCGTTGACCACTGCAAAGTATATCATCCAGCGTGGGAAGCAACTGCATGTGTTCATATCTTCAAGACTGTGTAAGATACAATCTCGAGCCCTGCGAAACCAACCCACAATCGCCAAGCGAACTGTTTACTGATCTAAATGAACTTTGGCGTCAGTGAGCTTGTTCGGATATGGAAGGGCGCAATAGATACCTCAGGCACTTTAGCGCCTTCTATCGGAACGCCAAACACATCAAGAACTCGATAACTTGGTATCTTGCTGCTATCACCAGTTACAGAATTGAAGAACGCGAGCTTTGACACGGTTGGTGAGTGCGTCGGGGGTAGGCGGCTTAACGATGTAGAGGCAGGTAAAGTGGAGAGCGTCCGACCATTCGAGCAAGCCCTTGTCAGCAGAGAGGAATGTCTGAATGACAAGGGATGCATCATATCTAGAGGCTAGCTGATGCTGAGTGGATCCGGGTCAAGAGCGTCACGGTTTGGCCCGAGTGTTGTTGATTGTGGGACAAGGCCACTGATCCGACGATTATCGATCTCGTAAACTTCGACCCCTGATAATTGTTGTTTCAAAATTACCACATCAGAACTTCCTCGGTTTCCTGAGCGCTACTTCGTCAATTTGAAGTTGGTGCCTGAGCCCAAAATGTAGTTTAGATGATACCCTATTAGACCTGAGGTCTGACTCATGAGTGTATGATTATTGGGGCAGACTGGTTGGAATTATCTTGGTAAAACCCTTGATCGCAAGATGTTGATCGTACCACTAGGTGCGGCGTTGTGGCCATGCAAGGCAGTCTGAGCCTCATCCATGATCTTGGTCCGGCCCAGGAAGGGGCTAGCGCAGCCTCGAGAAAGGTTCGTGCAGCTGAAAAGGCTATAGTCATCAACACTAGGGCCCATTCGGCCGAAACAGAAGAGGTAGAAGGTCACACACATTAAATTTCGAAGTCAACTTTGACTAGTAGGTCCAAGTTACGCCTGAGCAAGTTCAAAATACGTACAATTAAGTTTGATGATGGCCTGTTGTGCAACATTCTACATGTTCATATTGAAACCCGGGCCTCCGAGATTGATCGAAGATGTAGAATGTCGTCGACGCTTTCAATTGCCAAGAAGGCCTGGGAAAATGAGGCGATGCATTCCTTCTGAACTGGTGGTCACTGGGTGTTGAGGGCCACCTGCATCAACCTCCTACCAATATATAACCGATACGATGACGACCAGGCTACCAAAACTGGTCGCTTTCGATCTAGAGTAAAGAAAACCTCCCATCGAGACTTGATTGTGACTGATCGCAGACCATGTAGCTATACGCTTTGGGATTTCTGGATCGATACTCACGTACATCCTCCATTAAAGCGACACCACGTCACTGGCAAAGTCATCGATAGCCAGCGCAAACCCAAGACAATAGACTTCTACAGAGATGTGCCACAGATCATGCATCGCCTACAAGCAGCGGGCGTAACGATCGCTGCGTGCTCACGGACGGATGCGCCGTCATTGTGAGTGATCTCAACGATTCCACTATTGGTAGTGCTACGTTCTGCACTGACATGTTGTACCCGAAGAGCTCGCGAAGCCTTAGATCTCATACTTATACCCCCGAGGACCGGCAGCGACAGCAGCGCTAAACCAATTCCCGCAATCAAGTTTTTTGATCAGCTGGAGATATACCCTTCTTCCAAGATCAGACATTTCAAGAAACTTCATGAGAAGACTGGGATACCCTATGACGAGATGGTAAGTAGGTGAGCGTTATGTATGAAGGTTATTTTACATGTTTGGCTAGCTATTCTTCGACGACGAATGGAGGAATCAGGAAGTAGAAGAACTTGGTACGTAAACTTACGAACTAATGAAACCCCCTTAGATTGACGTCAAGTATACTAGGCGTAACATTCACACTTGTCCAAAACGGTCTCAATGACCGAATTCTAGAGAAAGGGCTAGAGGAATGGAGAAAGAGGCACCCTGTTCAAGTCACCGAAGACGCGGTGGAAGCAGATGAAACTCTTATCTCATAGTATTTCGTCGGCGTGATATCTCAATTGAATTCATGGTCTCGGTAAGAGAAGTAGTTACACTGCCTATCTGAGTTGATCGTATCGATAAGTACGATGGACAATCCAGATTCAATGAGAGGGGTTTCCCTTGAGATGAACTTATAACTTGATATCTATTCCCCATATATCAAGCCTAGAATGTTCTCGACTGAACACATCGAATACTTACACCGAGTCATTGTGTTCGTGCTAGGGACCTGGCGTGGTGGTTTTTCAGGGTGGTGTAGGGAGCAAAGAGGATAACATGCTGGCGTCGTGAGGAAATTATGTTCTGTAAGGGCTTCAACAATCATTGTGGAGGTTCCATCGATGTGACTATGTCTCGGGTCTTTTCCGTCAACAGCGATGCAGACTGGAAGCCAAAATCGCGCAAGCTTCCACATAGATAAGCTTGGGCAAGAAGCGAGGTCACAGGGAACAACACTTCCACCGAAATGAATGCGCAAAGGGTGGAGTCGCACATCAAAACGCCCGTGCTACGATGTGATTGGTAGGGATGTAGAGGAGTGATTAAGAATGGTATTTGGCACAGGTGTAGTCTGTCACAAGGTTAACTATCCGTTTCAGGATGCAGATCAACAGCTAAACTGAGAGCTCATGATGAAATAGAATAAGTTTCAACGTACGTGGCTCCCAGATAAGGGGAAAGGAGTTGGTTGGGAGGATAAGCTCTGCTGGCTTCATTTCCGCAGTATCTTTCCTCCAGTAGAGATCATTGAAACTGCTACAAACAGATTATGAGCGTAAATGGCGCGAAAGTATCCTGAACTGACACAGCCCAAACTCATCTTAATTCCGGAACTGAATACAGCTGTGCAATTTGTGATCCACAGGGAGAAACGGTACGAACTCTGCCGAAGGTGAGGGCAGGGCTGGGCGAGAGCTATAAAAGATTGTCTGCCCGTATTCCCTTTAGCTACCACAACTACACCCTCGCTCATACTTCATCTCTCGTGCAAATAATAAACGATGGCTGCTGCAAAGAAAGCTGTTAAAACTGGTATGCCCGACCATCATTTCTATCGGGGCGGTGTCTGATGGGCGTTTGATATTTTTACAACCTTCGATTATTTCGCTGGCATCACTGCTGATGCACAGGCGCTCCCACCACTGGCGGTGCTGCTACCGGAGCACCCGTACCAAGCCCGCCCGCCAAGGGTGCCTCTGCACCAGTGTGTAACCTGTCCAGTCATTATTGACAAAAATGTAATTTGTTGATCTTGCAGAGTAAAGGCGCCAAACCTCCTGCCGCAGAGGCTCCTGCCGCCAAGGCAAAAGCCAAGGTTCCGAAGAAGAAGTAAACCTCGCGCGCTTGATGGTCTGTGTTTAGAAGCAGGACGATGGCTGTGAGGATGATAGACCAAGCGCTCCGAGAATGCAGACGTACTACACCTACCGCGATGTATGAGATAACATGAAATTGAAGCTATACCACACGCTCTCCAATGCCTATGCTCAGTATTAATATTTCGACTCAGTGGGTTCTGACTCGAAGCCTAGCTTAGAATTTGAAGCAAATAGTGGCGCTTATGCCAGTGTACTATTAAAAACCGAAGAGAAGTGCATGAGCGCCAGTTGAAGTCTTGGCTTCTAGCACTGCTGGAAGCAGCCTAGAAATAGATGTTATGATCAGCTGAAACCCTATACCGAACAAGTCGTGGTGGTGTCTATGGCGCGTGGCAGTATATCAGAAGGGTCCAACGTTACAGCAGAGGTCCAGACAAGAGATAAAACAAGAATAACTTAAAGCTGTGTCATATTACTTACGTAAACACACAACTGCTTCCTAAACGAACGACGAACGATTCAGGCGCTCTTCAGCTACTGGTTTAGCCTCCTCTTCTTATACCTGCCGTTGTAATATCTGCTCAGTGGAATACCGACACACGTTTTTAGTATCCACCACAATCTGTTATGAATCATACTTGCCCGTCCGACAACACCGAAAACGTGGACCAATCCAGTTTCTGGAGCTCCGGGAATCTGAACTGGGACCAACACCGAATAGGATGGGCGATTGCAGGAGGGTGTGCTGTGCTAGTATGTTCATCTTCAGTTGTTAATATTTGTCCTGAGTGATTTATCATTAACAGACAGTTATTATTTCAATGATTTCAGTCTTGCGGCATTGTCGGTAAGGCGCCATAAATTTTGCAAGTATTTTTCGGTTCCAATTCGTCACATCAGACATTATACCAAACCTAACGAGCAGCGTCAAATGTGCGTGTATCACTTCTTCCTTGAGTGCATTTCTTCATGCCTTACTTTTAGTCTCCGAATTCTGTACATGCCACCAGTATATGCTGTTATTTCATTCTTTTCCTACCGATATTTCCGGAGTTACACATACTACTCGCTTATCGAAGTCTGTAAGTTGTCGTGCCAACACTATCGTATGCTAAGTTGACAGTGTCTCAATCCTTTCAGCATACGAGGTAATTGGTTACCGTGTATACCATCTTTGTCCATTGTCTCATCATTTGCTCAGGCTGTCACCTTGAGTGCATTCCTGTTTGTGGTTTACTTTTGATCACATAGATGTTTTACTTACTTGTTATCTCTATGACAGACTCCTTCTGATCGAATTCGTAGCAGCCACGGCCACAGATGGCGACGCCACAAAAGCAATCGAACGGAAGGATAAAAGACCTTTACCGCTTCCTGTACGTATTTTACTTGCCAAGTTTTACAACTACATGTTAATCTCGCCCATAGTTTTGCTGTTGGAGATACCGACCGACGAAGGTATGCTGTTGCTGATACCATGGGAGTCTTTTCCTCACACTTTTTCAGCCTTACTTCATGTATACTGTCAAGGTAAGCAAGCTACTAGGTGCTCGGACAAATGCCCATTTTTAGTGTAGTGGTCCGTTTTGCAATACGTTATCATCCGACCAGGTGAGGTGGAACCAGTCTATTCACAGATAGATATCTCACGTTACCGCAGCCGTATCTATCGCTGGGATTGTCTGTCAAATATACAACGTGCTTTGCGAGTCTGGCCCTTACAGCATATATTTTGCCAATGTCTATCTCGAGGTTGTCGATTTCGTCAGCATTAGGTATGTCCAGCTTATGATGAGATAGAGATCTGACCATAATATATTGTCCCGCGAATAGTGTGGCGCTTTACGGTCTTTTACTGTTTTACGGACTCACCAAGGAGGAACTGGTTGGGCGACGACCACTAGCTAAATTTCTCTGTATCAAGCTCATCGTGGTGTTCACTTTTTATCAGTCCTTTATCGTAAGTCCTTCCCGCCTTTGTGGTCGTTATCCACTTCACGCCCGAGTCGTTTGCAGTTTAGCGCACTAGAAGGCCGCGTTATTAAAGGTGTGTCCTTTCAGAACTTTAATTTACTCTAAGCTGAGACAAGCGCCAAAGCCACCGAATACTGGACTGCGGGCAATATCGCAGATGGTCTTAATGCGCTGGCCATTTGCATCGAGGTCAGTCATCACCTCCTCCTGAATACAACGCGGGAGCCTCGTGCCAACTTATCACGCAACAGATGGTTTTCTTCTCATTATTGATGATGTGGGCATACACAGTCGATGAATACAAGATGGTAACAACCAAAACGACAGGCATATGGCGTCCGTTATGGGAGAGGTGCGTCTATGTTCCATGATTGATAAAAATTTCAATTGCTGATGTTTTTATAGCATCAATTATTGTAAGCACTCTATGATATCTTCCTAAATTATTGCCTAACACACTACCAGGGGATTTTCTCACAGAGATATGGGGCTCATTCAAGTTCTTCTTTAACCGTTCCCCTGGCTCCTCGTCAGGTAAGAAGGCAGATTTTGCTCAAGCATTCGGGGTCGGTGGCAGGTCGGTGGAAGATGGTGATAGATCAACCGAGGAATCAATGAGGTTAGCTCCATATCCCTACAGTAATACCCACAACGCCGACAGCGCCAGTCCCGTGTTATCATGAATCAGATCAAACTAGCGTCACACATCAAGGACACCTTCGTTATCTATATCTGCTAGAGTCTCAGTTTACTTGCTTACCTTTATATATTCACACTCTTTACCTGTGTCTGACTGTTATTAACCTTTAATACGTCTGACTACGTGACACCACAGAACTTCAGCACTGCGGAACACGTTTGTATGTATAATATTGTACGATAGAAAGTACTTTGTACAGTAAGTTGGGTCCAAACATGTATCTGGTAGAACGAGGGTTCACAATGTTCATGCTGTATTTCGTGGTTTCGAACTATATAGAGAAGACCGGCATTTCCAGCGTCGCGAATCGATTTAACTTGGTCAAACAAGCTTAACGCACGAAGGAAGCCGGCATTGGCTGCTATTGTGTCAGCAACTTCATGCTGTGTTGCTGATCCAGGTTAGCGAGTCATCTCATCTTCAATGACAAGTACACGTCTGAAACGGCTGCTGGGAACGGCGGACTGGTGGAAACATGTTTCGTACTACGCATTCGCAACTTCTGGAAACTGGACATGGATCTACAATTGTTGAGGTCCAAGTATCATAAATAGTTCTGCCATTTCAAATGAAAGCCAAGATGCCCAAAACCTCTCCGTGTACAGATGACCATCAAGGGTTGAGGGGAGCCGAATTCGGGATTCAAAGAATCAAAGCGATACCTTGCAAGAGCCGGGCTGCGGCGTACTCACGTACTGTTGCAGTCCGTGCGGCTTCTAAGTGCTGCTTGGTAAGTGGAACAACGTAAGGTCCTTGTGAAGACGGGCGCCATAGTTCGATTATTAGACTAATTTCTAGATGTTGTTCACTGACGACGCCCCACTTCTCAAGCATCAGAAAGTGGGGTGTAGTCAGTGAACATTCCAATCATGAGGAACATGGACCTCTCTCAGCTTCTACCTCACCATCGTGACCACAACAGTGTAACGCCCCATTTACGATCAGTCCAAATTCTCGCGCTCAAAAGGAAAATTCGCTTGAACCACTGTGGACTGACCTACATCTAGGTGACCATTGTTGCATTGAGGCGGCTGCATAGAGAGTACCACGATTTCGGAGGTATACATCAAGAAGCGAGTTTAAAGAGAAACTTGAGTTGGACTGACCTTTGGTAGAGGTACCGGTGTTTTCCGATGCTCCAACGCCTCAGATGTGGTCTGCCTGGCTTCAAGTTATTAACCTAGGAATGATATCAATAATCAGTAGTCAGGGAATGCCTCGTGTCATCGAGTACCAAGTTGATACGGTGTCTTCATTCTCAGGTTGTACGATCACGAAAAAGCGATGATCGATATCACGATCGAGCTAGTGAGTGGAATGCATGAAAAGGTATGGCGAAGCGGAAATAAAATGTGACTGGTGCAGTAATAAGGGGTATGATGAGCAACTCGAATACAAGTAACGCAAAGATCTTTACTGACGCAAAACTACGTTGTACACTTGGAACTTGAAATGGTGACTTCACGGTCCCATTCAAAAGCCCTGCGACTTTTATCTTTCTCAAAGGCAGATGGTAAGAGTGCTGAGAAACGGATCGATCAGAAGGCACATGGCAGAGTGCGAGCGGAGCCCGATGAGGTCCAATGGTCTGTCTCATCCACTTCAGATGGGACCTGGACGCCCCACTATTGGAATATGTCTCGAAACAGCTGATGGAAAGATTGTTCGAATGTCAGGTCAACATCGCCACGCCTTGACTCGGTCCACCCACAACTTGAAGTACCGGTAATCATGCCAACTAGATATCGCTCGTCAGTCGATGAAGGGCGCCAGCAACGCAAAACTGGATGACCAGCTCGTCTAAGAATATCTCAGTAGTGAACATAAAACAGATCAGGATAAGTGAACGCACCAGATAGATTGAAATTTGAGCAGATGACGAGCTGAGTGACACGGTTGATCGATCGACCGCGCAATCATCGACTTGAAAGCGAAGCACGAGGCAGGCGACACTTAATGTGGTGCACACGAGGCCCTTTCATCCAGTTTTAACTTCGGTCCGGGTCTAGATCCAATTTGAGTGCCAATTTGAACCTACTTGTTGTCAATGGGAGATCGTAGTACTCAAATTACGATTGCGTACTAAGTCAGCTACCTTGGTCAAATCTCAGAACGGAACCCTCTCAATTCTCGAGGTGGTGAATTGCATAGCGATAGTGAAAGCAGGAACCAACCAGGTTGGTGGGGAGCAAAAAAGCCCGATCCATATTAGGTAAGTACTTGTGGCGCAGGGCGTCACGGTCCAGCACTGGCTTCCAATTATTTTGAGCAGCTAGCGTGTTAGCTCCATCGCTTCCTCATGATAATCTATCTCACCGAGGCAAGTCATTGCTCAGAAGCATAGTAATAAAGCTTACAAATGGTAAGATAGGCAACTTGAACTCAGGTGGACTGATGATGTTTGAACAGATCTAGTACCAATAATTATGATGTCCTTCAAGTCACTATCATAATATGATGCAATGTTAGACCCGGAATTCGGCCCTCACTGACGCTCAGCGTGCCGTGTCGTGGCAAGATAAGCAAGTTTTAACGCCTGTCTATCTCGGTCGCGGAACATATAGTAGCACACTGCCTTGGGCATTCTTGATATACCTCCAGTTCGCCGTTCATTAACAAACATACTTGCCATGGGACTGTGGTCCTGGAAAACGCAACACAATTCGCATGCGCAACGCAAGTTTATCGAACTTATATTCGATCGAACTGGAAAGTATGCCAACTGGGACCCACCCTCCGAAATTCAGGTGTGTTGTTGTAGTTTAAATACCCATCTACTGCATGTTGATCTCGAGCAGATTGGATCGTACGGAAGGATCGACAAAGATACGGGGAACTTGACCGTCGAAGGCAACATCTACTCAGATAACTTCAAGCAGTTCCTCATCGAGGCAGGTATCAACCCTGAATCTGATGAGCATCATGCCAAAGACTGTCCGGATGAGTCTGAATTCAAGACTTGGTCTAAAAACGTGAAATGCATCGACATGAACGCCGATGCTCAAGCGTGAGTTTAGCGTTCGATTCTCTTGTCTCGATGCTGAGATCGCGTTTCGATCGTTTCCACCAGAGGCGTGCCTGGGATTGCCGCAGCAAGTATCAAAGGGTCATGGGAGGTTAAGAAAGGCACAACTGGCGCTGTCTTGCTCATGAATAACCCTCGCATGAGGCACATCACGCCCGACGTTCTTGGGAAACTTGCGAGCATTAAACTTCTTCAGTCAATGCATCTCGTGACGAAGGTGTTTTATTGTCCTGCATTCTCCTTGTACCTCTCAGATACAAGTGAGCGTATTATTCCATCGCAAAGAAAATCGTTACAAATACAGGTGCAGGCGGCGAAAAGATCAGTATGGCTCTCCTGGCTTCCGCACCAGTTGTGGAACCCGTGGGCAGTCTTGAAGCAAAGGCTTCGTTTAAATGGTGGAGTAACACACAAACTGGATTAGCGCGCCACGGATGCAAGAAGGAGCATGTCTTTACACCCCTGTATGAACTTTTGCATGTCAGGCAACCTCGTAACAGGCGGTCGTCGCCATCCCCAGAACGTACCGGCGAACAGTTGTGAGTGCATTCGTTGCTGTTATCAGGCTGGCGCTTTGACTAACCGAGGGATATACTAGGTGGACTGTCCCTCCCGTCCCGTGGGCACCTCTTGGCGAGGATGGCACAGAGGTGCCGATATACATCAACGTGAGTTATCAGCATCTAACTGGTCAATTGTGTAGTCGATCACTCTTTGCACAGGATGGCACAGATTCCAGTGAGCCTGAGGAAGAATAAGGTCGTCAAGAGCATACCAGAAACGAATATGACTGTCAAAACGTTTCGAACTGCACATCGTGAATAGCTTCAATGCCACAGAAGATCATTTTAGTACAATCTCTATCAGGGTTCATGTGTGTGCGGCACCTCAGTTCCCGTTGTCAAGTTATATGGACCACCCGGACAGTCAACAAAAGCTATCAGCGATCTACTATTCCAGTGGAATCTCCTTGCGTGTTGTCTTTATAAGACTGGCAACGTGACCGCAGCGCCTGTGTGACCCAATCTCCGTCGACCATCAATTGTGTTGTCGTAACACCTGGTATTGACAGACCACACAGAGTCTATCATGAATCCAGAAAATTGATCGCCGCTGCGAGGTGGATCTCCTCATCGGGGCTCGTCTCATCGCCAATAGCAGTGTGGTAAAACAATAAGAAACCAAACCCCAGATTTGATATTGGATGATGTCTTCAAGAAAGGTCGTCCTGGTGGGGTACGTACGAAGGAGACACATTGGGTCCAGGATCAATAGAGGACAGGAACAACGTTTGTCCGCCTATCATTGTTCAACATCGCATTCCCAGACGTGTATCAATCAAAATTCCTGACAGTGCGGGTATGGGATGTAAGGTTGAGCTGAACCTGTCCGATGTTATCCAGTAGAGGATCACCAAACGGAGGCAGTGATTTAATGAAACTTCCCTATCATGGATTGATCTAGCCGTGATTGTTTGCAATACCACTGCCGCCAGTAAGCTACTTATGGAAGAGATGGAAGATAGTCTGATGGACTGGTGGGGACTGCCTGATTCGCCTACTTTACTCCGTATTTACTTCTATTTATTCTAGGTAATTTCGTTGGGCGCTGGGCGGCGTCTTAATTTTGAGCTCTCCTGATATTAATCTAACATCATGGTCGCGGAAGTTGCGAGCCGGATAGCTGGAAATTCCACACCTCGTTGCAACCTCGTTGCACATTTGATATCGGAGGGTTCATGCTGGGAGATCTGAGGAATCAGAATCGATCAGCTTAGTTCGAGGCACTTTCATCGATAAGATATAAACTTTCGACTCCAACCCTCCCAGCCAATCTTCAACAATTACTGTGTCAAGTGATCACTGGCTCACGGCGGTCCATGGAGGGACAAGTTGAAGTGTGCGGTTCGGAAGTTGAGGATCGCGGAATATACATGTCATTACCACATGACGCACAGTCATGTTACAATCTCATCTGGCGCATGAATAAGAACTTGGAACGAGAGGTCGAGAAAGTCGGTCCAAGTGGACGCCGGGGTTACGACAAGGACCTGCAGGGATGGAAAGCGGAAGCACACGATCTCGGCAACTGCAAACCTCGAAGGCGGAAACTAGCCTTTATCGGTAGGACAGGAGCTGGAAAAAGCACGGCTATCAATGCCATATTGGGAGCCCCAGTATTATCAACGAGAGCAGACGTGAGTGATGATTGTCACCTACTATTACTACGTTAAGCTTAAGCGCTCACTGATCGGAACTATAACTGAACTGCATCTCGCAGGGGTCAGCTTATTCACTGATACTTCACCTTTTTTTATTCTGACGCTTTCGGCACGTTGCGTGAGTAGCGCGTGTACATCTGTCCAGACTGAAATAATCTACGAAGATTTGCCCCCTTCAACTTGGAGAGCAAGCATCAAGTTTATAGAAAAAGATGAGTGGAAAAAAGTAAGTTTTCATGACCTTCTCTTGCACCAGACATACGGGCTGATGTTCCATAGACTCTGCATAATCTTCTAGATGATATTAGGTAGGTGTTCACAAAAAAGCCTTGTTTCCGCATCACATCCATCACGTACAGCGCTGTTTGTGAAGGTGGTGGTTTGAATATTGGACGTGATGATCTCAGACCTGCGTTGGATGCGTGGAAGGCTTTAAAAGAGGAATGTATTAATTCTCTATTTCGATGCTACTACGTAGTCTATGCTGATGCCGCTGTTGGTACAGGTTTATCCTCAGTAAGGCATGACTTTAAAATCTGAATTTTCATTGACTATTGCTTGCTGTAGCCTTCGTACACTATCATTCCCCCCGCCTCATCAAGACGTACATACACTCCTGGACCATGAACCTGTGGTGTCCATACTTGGTACCAATATTCAGACGACGGGCACTGGATTTGATAGTCTGGAGCTGCAGGAAAGTTGACAATGAACATTTCATACTCCATTGATATCTCTAAACCACGCACAGCTCCGGCCATATCTGACTTCGTTGGAGGAACAGCTGGTATGTCACCTAAATCTTAAAACCGTGGATAACTTTGTGATCATTCAATGTCCTCCAGTCGGAGCCGTCCCTATGGCATCTAGTAGACAGGTAAACATCTCAGCGACACTGATCGTGTGGTGCCTTCATTTTCAATTTTAGTGTTCATATTTACGGAGCGTTCGAAGTGCTCGCATCTGGTGCGGTCACACTTGTGGACGTTCCTGGTTTCGGGGATGCCAACAAAACAAGGTTTTGTAACGCTGTAAATATTTATTTATTTGCACTGACAGCATCTTCGCAGAACTAAGCGCACTAAGGAGTACTTGAAAAATGTTGAAGTAGTAATACTAGGTTCGAAAAGCGAGACGAATAGCTTCATCTTAACACTAATATTTGTATCAGTGGCAGACATCAAGCGTGCAGCTGATGACCAGGTAAGACAGATGAATATACTGATATGATTTGACTTCTCAATTCCATCGCTAGGCCATGCACATCTACTTTGAGAAATTGTAAGTGCTCGCAACTTCCAGGAACTGTATGCCCACGTATTACAGCTTGCATCAAATGATCGCTATAGATGGCCGCGTAGAATCGCTGTTGATCTTGCTTACCGGAGCGGACGTATGTCGCCGTCGTTCTCTCCGTCCATGTACCTCACACATTTATACTAGATACGAATCAATGAGGACCAGTTGCATCATCTTGGTTCAAATCAACGCCAGATAATCCAGAACATGTGCCAGGTACATATGCTAGGTTAAGTCAATATCAACTTTACGGCACTTATGCATGCAGTAGGAGATTGATCGTCTCAGCGAAAGCCTGGATGAGCAAGAAAAACAATTAGACGTGTTCTTTCTCGATTACTACATAGCTCCGAAAGATGGTCCTGAGTTTGCGGGACTGTCGGAGCGTCTACACTCGACCAGAGAAATGGTTTGACATTCATTTAGTCTGAGTACATGAATAGGTCTGACCTAATTTGCGATCCAGAAAGATCAGACAACTAGACAACTGCAACTGGCAAATGCTACCAAAGACACGTACATTGCAGTGCGTATACCTATTCAGTGTCTTGATATTACTCACGAGCATTTTGTCAGCACCAACGATCTGCTCGGGCACGAAATGTCTTTCTGGAGCTCTATCGTCAAGTGTACTGTAGTATTAAGCAGGTATGTAGATCAACTTTCTGCGATGTAACATAGCCAATTCTTTTTTTGTCAGGACTCTACCTGTCAACCTCCTTCGCTACCTATTTTCTGCATTGGAAGCATGGACTACACCCAACTTTTGGTGACGAATAAACGACACCGAGCTCCGGTGGTTTTTACTGATCTCGAAGATGTTTGTCTCACCTCTGGCTAACCGAAATATTATTGCTCACAGTCTTCCGAGTCTAGACTGGTATTCCGCAATTGTGTCGTTACATTCACGATTTTGGTTGCAAGAAAGCGATCTCAGATATCAATGCTCACGCGCACAGGTCAGCTTTACTATGGGAATCAATTGAGAGCTACTTTCTTTCTTCACGGCGAGATTCGAGGCTCGCAGCATATGAGGATGCAGCAAGAGGTCTGATGGAAACTCTCAAAGATGTCAGTCATGAGATTATTCTATAGTACGAACTTACTAATTCAAGCAAAAGACTGTCGACGAGATATGCAAAACTTCAGGAGGCAAGATGGACAACAGCGTAAATGAACTGGAACAATCTCTCCGAATTGAAGCTGAAAAGGTGGGCATCAGTCGCATCACACTCTCGTTTGCAATGATTGATTAGTATTCACGAAATATTGTCCATCCACTAGGCATCTGAGCGCAGTCTCAACACCATCAAGGTGCTCGGAGAGCATCATCAATGGCGCAGCTACCGTACTCTTATGCGCCGAGAGGGTGAATGGCGATCGACAGATCTCAACGAGGACCTCACCCTAGGCATATTAGAGGGTAATGCATCAAGGTTTGTCGCTTAGTGACAGTGAAGCTGCTCATCTGAATTGTCGAGAAAGTGCGTGGCACAGGTTATTTAACGATTTTCTGAGAACAGAAATCAACTCACTTGTTGTGGTAAGCACCATGGCGCACCGCATAAAATTTACGATTTATTGACTTGATTGAAGGATATCTCGGATCGTTCCAATGAGACAATCAGAGCTATCAGTAAGTAGTCTACTCCATGAATATGGCAACCCAAATGTCAGCCTCATTTCTGTGTAGAGAATCGAGCCCAACGAACGACAGCAATCGCACCACACATCGACAATGCATGTAACTTTATACACCCATTTGACATCATGAATCCTGCACGAGACCAGTACATGTCAGCCATTTTGACGATGCAACGGTAAGGTCTTCCGCCGTCGTCACAATCTGTTTACATTTCAACCGTGTCATCGCAGGGACTTTTGTGGGTCCTTGAAGGGACTTATGCGCGTCGCATTGGAGGACCACTATCGTGTTGTTGGAAGGGAATCTGGTGTGGGAATGTTTCAACGGATGAAGGTGGGTAAAACCCCAACTCCTTGTGAAGATCAGAAATGTTGTCTTACAATAGGCCCAGGATCTAAATGAGGAACAATTCAGTCCAAAGAAGGCTCAAGAGTTGTATACTGGGCTCATTGACCAGGTCATGACAGCTGTCCGAATGGCAAGGAATAAGGGGGAAACAGCACTCGACGAAGCACTTGCCCGTCTGTATGCAATCATTGAACGTTCTCTTGTTTGTAGGTTACGCTGCCTTCAATCTGAACAGGCATCAATTG